TTCTTTTAACTAAATTATATAGTTAAAATAAATATAATTGATAATTTTGAAATAGCGAAATATAAAATTCTTATGGAACTCGTGCAGATAGACAACCATAAAGTTAAGCAAATATCAATAAAATTATTTTTTTATTGAATGAACCAATGGATGTACGATCACACTGTTCGTTTCAAAATTTCATCAATACATATCTTCACATTCCATGCCCATGTTTTAATTTCGAAGGTAGGCTTGAACAGAAAACAAATTTTAACAGCTGATTGTAGCTTTGTCTTTGTAGCGTAAATCACGCCAACATAATGTAAAAATACGTAGCATCTAAAATAAACGCGAGCATGCGTATTTGCTTCAATCTTACTAACGGGAGAGTACAGAAGCTAACATAAAAGTGCAAAATCTTCCTAATTGCTCTGCATGAATCTTACGTACGCAAGCGTGCGGGTTATTACATGGCCATGCGAAATCTAGCTACTGTAATCGTAACTTTTGACTAAATCATGCCCTTCTTTTAATAGGTCTTTTATAAAAATTGTCTTCGAGAATGCAGATCAAATGACTTAACTAATCAAGCCTTTGCTCTTAATGCATTCTATTCCTAAATAAATTAATGACCAATAGTTACTAATAACATTACATGTTATATGTCGATAGGAATCCTGATGAATATTCCTCCTCGAGCCGAAATTTCGCAAAAGGATCACCCCCTTAAGCAAAAATCATCGTCACGGATTGAGATTCTGTATAATTAATTTGCTGTCATATCCCATTCATCTTCAAACCAATTTGAGTTATCTGACAAAATTTATGAGCACACATTCTAATGTACTATGACATGTTTTGTAATAACACCACGGGACAAATATATAAGCTGATTAAGAAACCAGTGTTTATTTGTGGAGGTTGATCAGTAAACTAAAATGCATATTCTGTACTTCCGTTTGATATAATGCATTTTTGTATTGAAAACCCAACTCAATCCATTGACTTTCAATACGATATATCTTTTACTTTTTTTTTAACGTTAGAATAAGTTATCAAGAAATAAAAGCTAAATTTTTATTTAATTTTATCATATATACGTAACGTGTATCGTAAATTAAGATGAATTTTTGCATAATGTCAGCTTACGCATGCAAAACACCACATTTTTGAAGAAACGGTTTTAATAACTAATACTAAAATATAAAGGTAGTAATTTAATCTATTTTAGTTTTCTTTTATTTATTTATTTTTAATCTTCAATTTCTCGAGAATAATTTGACTCGATTTCCTTCAGAGTTAGGGCTTTTGCGTAAAAAAATAACGAAGATCAACACTGTACCCTTTGTTCTAAATATTTTATTTGATCTTTTTTCATTTGAATTTACGCTACTGTTCTGATCACATTGTGCTTTTTTACCCAATATTTTTTTGCTCCTCCTAGATGTCTAATAACTTCTTTAATAACTCGACAAAATAAAATTATCATCCTATATAGGTTGTATCCTATAAATCCTATCCTATAAATGTTAAGTTATATAGAGATTTATTTATAGCAAACAATAAATAAATCTCTATATAACTTAAAAACAATAAATATATCTCTATATAAAGATCTGACAGGATGTATGAAATAATTCGAGAATGGGCTTTCTGATCGTGACTTTTTTATCTGTTTATAAATTTTCAAAGGGATTGTTTGTAAGTATCGAACACAGTATCGAAAATATCATATTTCATTAGTTAAAAAAATAATTAAACATAGATTTAAGCGTGTGCTGTCGTGGAAACATCATTTTTACAAAATATTTAAAAAATAAAAGAACATGAAACCAGTAGAAAATATCAAATATCCTTAAAGCTAGCATAACTCATGTGCTGGAGTAAAGCGTGCTAGAAAAAAATATACAGTCTAACATAAGTTATAAAAAATTAAAGAAATGTTATACTTTACTTTCAATGGCGGTGTTAAACATAAACTTATTCTAATTCGTGCAAACGGCATTTCAATTTGAAGGCTTTTAAATTTATTAAATTCTAATACACCAAAACATTTTAATACCACCTATTAATAATGACCACGAATTTTAAATCCTCAATCTTTGTATTATTATCCTTTAAATGATAATATCATAAATCCTATATAACAAAAAAGTGAGTACTTCTCTGGTAATGGTACTATGAAGCCAAGTTCACCAGCTACCGATAATATACATCGGTGCAACGAATAGGATAACATTGATATTAGATAACATCGTTAATATATATGATAACATAATTATACAAAGCCATAATTATTGAATACGATAGTATTGTGCTACATATTATTTCGGTAACAAAAATATTGACACAATCTTAAAAAAGTTAATTTAATTATCAATTACCATTTTAATTACCAATTAAACGCGTCGAATAAAAGTATGGACTGATTTTAACTTTTTAACGTAATACTCATTTACTTAGGTTTTTTGTTCTTAAGTTATTACGTCTTTCAGTTATTGAACAGAGCCATCAAATCTTAATTATTTTTTGCTTTAAAATGTATTGTTTACTGTTTTAGATCTATACATTCTTTCAACCTAAAGAAGTTTATAACAAGTAAAGTTCGTTTCGTTTTGGCGAAAAAAAACTTACTAATGAAATTCATCAGCTGGCATAATTAATAATAGCGAATAAATAAATGCACAGGGTTATTTTGATTATTATCCATCAAAGGTATCAATTGAGAAAATTAGTACGTTTTTTTAATGTTAGCATATGTTGAGCGAAATATTTTAATAACAAATTCACCACGATACCATACGAACATGTAAGAGACAAAAATTAAATCTACGCTCACTTGAACAATATGAGTGTTATGAATTTATTCTACTTACAGTCTTGATTTTTTTTAAAATCTCGAAATACTTAAAATCCTACTCATTTTAATNGAATTTTTACTAAACCAGTAGACCAGGAGAAACTGGCAAAATCCAGTAGTCTACTGGAAAATCCAGTAGAGTTGGCAGCTATGTACAATGCATTCTTTCAACCTAAAGAAGTTTATAACAAGTAAAGTTCGTTTCGTTTTGGCGAAAAAACCCTTTCTAATGAAATTCATCAGCTGGCATGATTAATAATAGCGAATAAATAAATGCACAGGGTTAATTTGATTATTATCCAACGAAAGTATCAATTGAGAAAATTAGCATGTTTTTTTTAATGTTAGCATATATTGTGCTAAACTTTTTAATAACAAATTCGCCACGATACCATGCGAACATGTAAGAGGCAAAAATTAAATCTCTCACTTGAACAATATGAGTGTTATGAGTTTATTATACTTACATATTGTCTTGATTTATTTTAAATCTCGAAATACTTGAAATCCTACTCATTTAAAAAAAATAATAAATAAAAAATACGGCTATAAAACATACATAAAAGCTGGAGGCAAATTTTAAACTCTTTTTTACTATGCCTTATTTAAGCCCTTTCCTCCCTAGTCAGAAACAATGAAATGATTACCGTTTTTTTTTCTTTCAAATTTGCTTTGTGCTTTTCTAGATTATTATAGTAGAAAAATAAAGGAGTGAGAGATGTTTTTTTTTTCAAACAGAACTATAGCATGCATTTATAACCTACACACATTAAGCAAAGACTTTTTTCCGATTAATATATTGAAGGAAATGCGACAAGAATATTTTATTTTACTTATTTCAAAACTTTTGATGCTTTCATAAACATATAAATAGGTCACCTTAATTACCCGTTCACTCGATTTCCGTAATATTTAATAGACCAACGTATATGCAGATTTTCATTAATCTTAGGGAATGTGATCTGCCATTAATTTGGTACGGCATCTATGGGTCCTGATCCATTAAAAAGTAGATTATAAATGATCTAGACTACAAAAATTACATAATTGCGTCTCCTTCAGCGAAATAAACAACCCAGTCAAAATTATGACTTAAAAGTGAATTTGTTGATCGTTATTTAATTTAAAAATAAGTAAGCTTTCAAAACAAATTTTTGAAACAATGAAAAAATAATTATTTTATAATTAGTTTTTGATAAAATATGTCCAAACGTGATTAATTCCATTAAGGCTGTTAATCAACAAAACATACTGATCTGTGGATCACGCGTGCCCCACTGTGGTAGCAGGTTTAACATCCATGCTCTCTATAATTAAAAAACTTTTATTTCAGAAAGATATGTTTTCAAAAAGTTATTTACGTAAAAGAAATTTGTGTGATGTTTTATTTTTTGGTAAAATCAAATATGAACGATATTTTAAAAACATTTTAACACTTCAGAAAATATCTGCTGTAAAAGTTAAAAAACTGTATCAGAAAAATATTTTTTAAAAATAATAATAATTCCGCAATTGCAGCTTTTAACTGAACGAACTTGTTTTTCTAAAAACTTATTTAAATCAAAAGTTACACTTTCTCAACTTTCTAAAAAAAATTTCTTTTTTTTTAATTGAAATTTTTGCATTATCACCATAACAGGTAGCTTTTGAATATTAAAATTTCAAATGTTTGCTAAATTCGGATTGAAATACAATGTTACATTTGTGGCGTAAAAAGGCACCTCAATCTTTAAATAACACGACGAACAAGTAATCACGCCAGAGAAATTCAATAATAATAAGAAATTTAATACATTTTTATTTTAAATCGGGCCAGATGACGTAAAATCTTCCTACGAAGTTTAAATATTAAAAGAAGATATATAACTTTGAAAATAAATACATAATTTTTTACAGTAATATCACAATTTAGTTGGTGTAATATTTATGAGTATTTAATATCATTTCTATGAATAATCAGGCATAATGACGTAACTTTTCCGAGAAAAAGCTTTAAAACGATTACTAACTAGAGATGAAATATATTTTTAGCGATTCCTTGTTTTCGGGTAACAATATCCTTTATAATTTTTTATGCTAAATTATTTCTTACAATACATATATATAGCTTGGAAGTTGGGACCCTTTATTTTGGATTATTTTTTTACACTATGCAATCTCAGTCTGACGGTGGCCAAGAATGGCTGTCGTATAGGGCGCATCTAATAATAATGAAGCGTGAGGGAGGAGGAGGAGGATGGGAACCAGAATGGTGGAGGAGCAGCAAGATGGCGGAAGATTCTCAGAAGCAGAAGCGACAACACTGCTATCTCTGCGATCTCCCGAAATTTCCCTGGGCAATACTACTCGAATATTCTGAACCTGTATGCAGGGGCTGCCTCAACTATGAAGGAGCCGATCGCATCGAAGGAGTCGTCGAAAATGCTCGTCGACTCAAAAGACAATACAGGGAGTTCATCGAAGCAACCCGATCAGCCCCCGCAGTTAGAGAGAGTACGCCCCGGCAAATAAAACCCTGCAGACGTCTCACTGCATTACCCGAAGAAAGCAGCCGTCCAGGGCTTGTAAGGGCTGAGAGTTTACCCCCCTCCTATGATGGAAGGTACAAAAAAGATTCATTAGAAAGAGTGCATTCTTTTGATGCAGGTACAACTGCCATAAAATCAGGTATGCAGTTACATTACTTTTCTTCTCTTCTTTTAACATAATGTTTTTATAGCTATTATTTTACTAATATTACTGCAGTTTGGCACTGCTGTGTTTTACTAATATTATTGCAGAAGCAAACTCTGTATTAACATTTCCTTCAATAACTGCAAAAAAATTAGCTTTCAAAAATTTCACAACTTACAAATTAAATACAATAAGAGGTCTATATGCAGACTTTTGAGAAGACCTCTGCTTTTACACGTAACAAAAATTATCGCTGAATGGAATGGTTACTACGAAAAAAATAGTAATTAGTAATTATGATATAATTTATTATCGCAATAAATTTAAAAACAAAGTAATTAGGCCTTTAAATTCGTATAAAACAGGAAGAAAATCAGTTAAAATTGCAAAATAAATATTAAACAATTAATTGATCGCTCGGCCATGTGCCCTGAACCCCTAAATCAATCTCTGATTTCTATTTTTAAAAAAAAAATTTGCGTGACAATTGTATCAATATACCTTATGTCATGGAAACAATAATTAACAGATATATGAGAAAAAGAGCAGAAACCACGAATCAAACCATTAAACCACGAATTAAACCACGATTCAAATAATGGCGAATTTTCGGTAGCTCTTTCTAATTTTCAATTTTAACAGCCATTACTAACTACCCATACATACTTTTACTTGTACTTCGTTACTTTTTAAATTTAGTACTTTTACTTGTACTTTCGTTACTTTTTTAGGGAAAAAGTAAAAGTATTTGTAGCGGAAATATCGAATGAAATCGTTACTTTTTTCTAAAACTCGGTAAGCTTTCTAAAAAAACAAAAAATTAAATTTAAAAAAAATGCTTATGTTTTTTTAATTTATAAAATTAATGTGCAATATATATGCATTCACAGCTAACTTCGTGTTTAAATACCTTCTGTTTCAACTTATACTGCACATTCAATTATTTTTTACTAGCTCAAAGATCACAAAGCTATCTGAAACCCCGTGTTTGCTTTGTTTATGTTTGTGCTTTTAAAACGCGTTTCTAAAGAGTAAAACAATTTTAAATCAATGGTAATTTAAATAAATAAAAATAATAAACTAAAAATTAAAATCAATAGATAAAATTTCTTTTTCGTGCAAATCCATAAAAAGTTTGATATTAAAATTATATTTGATTTTAAAATTATATTATACGATTATATTATAAAATTATATTATAATATTCTTCCGAATTTAAAAATAAATTAATGTCCATAACTTTCAAAATTAAAAATAATTAAATAAATAACAACAATTTTGCAAAAACATTAAAGAACATAAGAATATTATTCAATAAAATTTTAGGTTACTTTGAATTTTCGATTTCCTAGAAATGTACTTTGAAATCGTTACTTTTTTTGTTTAGTACTTGTACTTTTACTTGTACTTTTTACTCGTTACTTTTTAAAATAAGAACTTTTTACTTTTAACTCGTTACTTTTTTTAAAAATACTTGTACTTTTACTCGTTACTTTTTAAAAGTAACGTTGCCATATATGCTAACTACATACAGTTTTTTAAGATATTATTCTACAGTGATATTGCAACAGTACATGGTGCAAAACTTAGAAACTAATTTTTAAAATTTTTTTAAGGAATAAGTAAATATATTTCACAATGAATATGGATCATAAAATGAAATCATTATGCATAGAATACGTGTAACCTGAGACTAACATTTTAATACACTTTTACTATTCTAAAAATATCCTAAAATAGATAAAAATATTCTTCGTACTATTCTAAAACGCTAGTCTGAAGTTAAGTTGCTGTATATTGTTGTGCATGAGCAACAAAAATTAATTAATCGCTAAATCAGGTTTTTTGGAAATTAAGAATTCGCTATGTGATACTAAAGCATTCCTTTATAAATGACAATTCAATTCGAATAATAAAACTCTAAAGCTGATATGACATGTTTAAGTGTGACAGTAGGCCTAAATATTTACAATAATGAAACAAAGTCTAGTAATATATTTCTTCTTTCTATTACGATATAATAAATATAAGAATGTTAAGATACTTTATTATTAGATATCTCTAAGATCGGAAAATATAATGATAAGCCCCATTTTTAAATTGTTTGGCGAAAAACACGATTTCCATTTAGACACCAATATGTTTCTGAACATTATGCTGTTATTTAATGTAAATTCCAAAAAGCCTGGAAACTTTTTAAATACCTATCTGGAAACAATCTTAAACAATAAACACTGCAACAATTATCACTGCATATTGAGTTACTTTGTGGTTACTAAAAAGCAAATACTTTGGGAGAAGTGAATCAGTTTAACTTTTTTTTTTGCTTCAAAGCTTTACGATTTTTAAACACTTTTTTTATTTTACTCACCTAATTTTGTGTTAAGAAAAGAGTAAATTATATGAACTGATTGATCTACAAGTAGATCTTAACTATTAATTTATGTATTATGCTGTTTATATTTCGATTTTATTAACAATGAAATATATTAAACATATATATAACAATCAATATATATAACAATTAAAATATATGTAACAATCAATATATTAAAAAATGAAACACAAATAAAAATTTTATAAATTCTTTGGAACAAAGCAAGTATAGTAAAATTCTTGAATGAAGCAATAACTATTTTTTAACCTTTACCATAATACTTAGAAAAATACAAAGCAGTAATTTAGGTGAGTAATACTAGGATAAAATGATAATAACTTTTACCTGAATTTCTTCTAAATGTTCTGCACACGAAAAATTGTCTCTGCAGCCATAATATTAAAGAATAGTTAAGTACTAATAGTTAAGTACTTCGAAAGTTTGTGCCCACCTTTTTTCTTCTAAGTAAAAAGTTTATACTACAGAGTGTTCGGCTGTAAGATTACACATTATTTTATTTGCTGGAATTTTCACAAAAGAATCTTCGCTACTTAGATTTCACAAACGCACTTTAGAACACATCATTCACTGGTTCAACAAATTAGCTTGAAAGCTACAGACGATTTTTCACATGAATAATAATGAAGTATTTTATCGATTAATAGAAAACGATTTAATAAACTCAAGTCTCAGCAAACAATATCTTAAAATAATAAAATGCCAAGCGATTTTTTTTTTAAACAGCACTCAACTTAACTTTTTTTTTTCCTTTTATTTTGTTTCTTGTATTTGGCTGCATATGTTTATAGTAACTTGCACTAAGATGATAATTGTTCTTTTTATAAACATGATGAAGTAATTTGAGTTTCTGGTTCAGTCATGAAAAAAATTTATAAAAATGAGTCAAATTTTGACAGGGAAGGCAATCTCTAATTCTATCTTTAATAATTTACAAAGTTAAAGGAAGTGAGCAAATCTATGTCCTTAAGAATGACAAAATCAAGGGCGTGAGTTCTTTGTCCGTTAATCTAGTGGGAGATAGTAATACCGAAGATTTCTTGGAATTCCTTACAATATGTTAATAAACAAAATTTTTAACCTTGTAACCTAAAATTTTAAAAAGTTGAAATTTGAATTGGGCAAAGTAGGTTTTAAAAAATACGAGTAACAATTAAAAACACATTACTTTTCAAGAACTGCAAAAAAACAGTGTTCTTAAAAAACAATTTTGAAAAAAAGGAAGTTTTAATAAAAAATGACATTTTATTCGTAATTGCTTTTAAAAACTATTTAACCTAGTATTATTATTAAGATTATTTTCATTACAATGTAAGGTTTTATCCTCTTAAGGAATCAGTGGATTTTAGAATAAACCATTTAAATTGTAATGCTAAAAATAAAATTTCTTAATCATCTCACAAAAAAACTCGAAGACTTAAAAAAATTTCTTGCAGTTAAATTTTAAATCATATTTTAAATTTTATAATAAAATCGCAACTATCGGTAATGCATTAATCAACATTTAATATTTATTATTTTTGTAAGAAAAATTTTCAAACATACTGCTGTTGATAAAATGATTAAGCAGTAAAAATTAAGTGGGCAAAGAAAATTAACATTAAGGAGTTCTAATTTTAAACCGCTCTCCTAAGTAAGCTATTAAAACCATATTTTCCAGATTGTAGCCTTTTTTCCCCCACTAATTTTTTTTTGAGGGACAAGAATAATTATATAGCACATTTAAGATTAAACACTCAAACTATTAAGATTGAAACCAGTTCTTCCTATGAATGACGTGAAAATCCGATAAATAGATCAAAAGTTATTAAAGCGTTAACCTTCTTTTCGCATCATAACATAGTATTTTCATACTTACCTCAGCACCGTAGGAATGCCAAGCAATTTTGACCCTGGTCAGAAGACGCGGACAGCGCCTGAGCTGCTGAGCTGCACATTACAACCAACGAGAGGACTTTCAGCCACGACAGATTTAACGTGCACTTTGTTGTGTGTGTACACCTGTTGCTGTATCGGCCGCCAGTATCGATCTCCCAAACCCCAGCTCTCCAACTAGCGGTGTGAGGTTAGCGGCCTTAAGGTAGCTAAAGCCAACTAGCGGCCTTAAGGGACTACTCCACCAGAGCGCTACCTTGAAAGTTAAAACATTTCTATTTAAGCTTTACTGATTCAAAAATATTTTATTCAAAGGATTTCCAACGAATACTTCATCGGTCATCGACTGTGTGGTATCTCAAGCCTTGGAGCGTGGAAGCCCCTCCAGTTCAAACCCATCTCAACCACAACGCAGTAGCAAAAAAGAAACCAACCAGTTTTTCCACTGCAGCACCTGCCAGCAACGGCTGGAAGACACACACTTCGTTCAATGTCCATCAGTGCCAGCCCACAAGTTTTGTTTTCCTTGCACCAAAAATAGCATCAAAGAACATAATGCTTCCGAGGAAATATTCTGTCCTAGTGGAAATAAATGTCCTCTGGTGGGGTCCAACATTTCGTGGGCATTCATGAAAGAAGAGATAGCAACCATACTTCGAGAGGACCAGAAACCAAAGAAGGACAAAGACAATTAAAATGGGTGCCTTTGTAAAATAGACATGTTTGAGATAGCCACTAATTTTTGAAATCCATGCATTCGTAAAGTCTACCATTTAAGTAAAACCCGATTAACTCAAATAATACAACGATTGAAGAACCTCAAACAGATCTGTTTTAAAAAGGCACCCATAGTATTATATGTAAGATAAGTTAATGTAACTGCCAGACAGAAGTCATTTTAAGTGTTCTTAACGTCAAAACATCAATTATATCAATGCCTTTCCAATGCTGTAGAAATACCCACTTTTGATGTGGAGGTTATTTAAAATCGAGTTCTGGTTGAGAGGGCAGAAAAATACATTTTGGGTACATACTAGTTTATTAAATTGAATGGCTTCATCTATTCATGTGCACAAAAAAGAAAAAGAAAAAAATTCTTAAAAACGATTTTTTTAAAAGAAATTGCTTGACCAGAACTCGGCTTTAAACTGCTTAACCAAGGCTTTTACAAATTGATATTCTTGTATTACGAATAGATTTAAAACTTTCAAGTAACTAAGTAGCTTAATTTTTCAAGTTATACTTCATTTGATGTTGTCACTCATGTGGAAAAGGAAATTTCTCTTTTAAAAAGATCTCTATATTTGTGATATGCAGGATTATAAAATAATTTTGAATAATTGACAACAAAATTATATTAAACAACACACAAATTTATTCCAAAAATTGGAAAATACGATTCTAGAATTAAAAATTCTAATGAAGAATTTTGGAATAATTTTCTATTAAAGTAAAAAATAAAAATTATATATTTATTAAGAAAAGATTTGAAAATCAAATCTCGAATTAATTTTTCAACAGGTGAACTTGATTAATTGTCCCTATTTTTTAAAAATAGGGTTCTTAGAACTCTGGTAAATTCCTTATCTCCATGATTTAAATATAATTCCTTAAACAATTAAAAGACAACTGAAAGCTCAAACTTGCCCCAAAAATCATAGTTAAAAAAAAATTAGCAAAGTCATCCAGTTTACAGCATGAACAAACTCAAAATTGGTAGTTTATTTCTATTATAATACAATTATTTTTCAAAAAACCAGTATAGTTGTTGTTAATATGTTTATTAAATTTGATAATAGATTTCTTATAGTCTATGATGTTCTGCAACCACCGAATTGGGTTGCCAAATCTCCTTGGATGCTTGGAAAATACGTCATGTGTGGGTCAGCCAATAAGGTTCAACACACACGCGTGACGTCACTTACAAATATCCAATTAAATCTGATCTGAAAATTTATTCAACGTGTTATTAAAGCCAAGCCTTAAAATTGTAAGCCCTGCACAACGATGTGATTGGACACAACCATGAAATAAGTTGCAAACACCCAATTGTTTTATGAAATTAAAGCTTACTTACTTTAATATTTATTTTACAATCAGTTTGTATATCAAAGAACAATAATCCATAGCTTGTATACATGAAATCCATGTTATAAGTAGTTCAAAGTATCCATATATCCTTGTAGTGAAAATGAGTGTACAAGAACAATAATGCTGTGACCAATAGTTTTCAAAAAATAATTTCAATAGTGTGTTACAGATTTACACAGGAAACAAGTTTGGGGCACAAGAATATTTTGATAATTTAAGTACAGTAATCGAATCTTGTTTACACGAAATGCACAAGATTTCATTAACACAGACTCATATGCATAGAAACTTGATGGCAGAATCTCGTATGCACAAAATACCGTTGATCAGAATCTCGTATGCACAAAATACTGTTAATCAGAATCTTGAATGCACAAAATACCATGAGACAGAATTTTCAAAGGTCAAAATACTAATACTAGGTCACAGAAAAAAATAGGAGAACTACAAAATAATATCATACAAATTAATAAACACATACGAATAAAAATTTAGCACTGAAATGTTTAAAGCAGTAAAATGTTTCATACCCATTTCAATTTGTTTTGATATGTATACTATTATTTGCAGGACAGACATTAAGACAATAATAAATCTCCGTGTCTTGTGAAGAATTACTGGAGTTACACTTGCAAATGCCGCTACGACTTGACTTTTTAATGTGGATAAAATCAGTTATTGTTTCACTGTGATTATAATAAGTGGAAGAACAACTTGCATTCCTAAACTTTCAATGAATTATTTTTATATATTTGAAAACTCATTTTAAATGAGGTTGCAAAATCTCATAGCTCTTTTTGGATGGTCATGAAGTATTAAAAAAATTGTATTTTCTGCAGCATTTTGTGCATAAGATTGTGTTCTGTAATCAAATCACATATAAATCACAAAACGAATAATAATCTTTGTTAATATCGGAAGTTTACTGACCAATAAATAAATCAAAATTTCAGATCATAGAAATAGCTAAATTTTTCAATAACAACTGCAAAACGTTTGATATCATATTTTTTTAAAAGAATATTTTATTGCAGCACAAATCTTGTTATTCTTAGTATTCACCTGAATAAGAGCTCACGTTCTACATTTCATGTAGAGTTTAATAACAGGCGCTCTATTTCATTTCACATATAAATTACAATAAATCATATAAATGATAATTATCAAAAAAATTTTGTGTTTATGATTAATACAATCAATATTTATTTATAAAATTTATAATTTGGCATTGACTAAACATGATGATCCAACTTCACTATTATCAACTTGCTGTAAAATTTTACTTAAGCTTTTAGAACTTTTTGCTTAGATCCTGCTATCTTAAAACACCATTAATAAAAAAATTATTCATGTAACAAAGTATCGAATATATGCATTTATATGTGTTTGTAAGTGATTCTCAAGATTTTCTGCATGCTTCAAATTCATCATTTTTTTCCCATGATAATGAAAAAAACTTTTTTGCCAAAGGACAAATTAAAAGCAAAAATATAATATAATAAGCTGATAATTACTATATTTTTTAAATTTCTAATAGTTATCACAATTTACATGGACAAAAAAATATATTTTAAAGACCAACATAATGGAAGATGAAAACTATCTAAGTACTCAACATTTGCACAACGAACTAATTTCAATTAAAAATAAATATATTGAACTGAATTTTGATCAGCATATCTTTTTTTTTCAAGATTAATTTAAAGATTAACATTAATTAAAAATACATTACGCCAAGTTATCACACTTATATCTCATTAGCAACTTTCACAAGTCTCCACAACGAGTAAGGTATAACAATGAGTACTATATTTAAAAAACATACTGCCATTTTTATTACTAGAAGCATTCCCACAGCAATATCAATGTGCATTTTCATAAAATATTTCGTACAATTTCTAGGAAAGAATTAATATGTTATTTCACTATGAATGTGTGAATTTAATAAAATCTGAATATTTTAACAAATTGCCTCTTATAAGCATTTTACAAAAAGAAATTTTTATTTCCTTAAATATAAAATAAATTTGAAATGACAGTACAAAATTGTAAACTATAACTAATGACAGAATTAGGCTGCTGCTTAATTCCGACTGTAAATTAATAATTGTTGCGAATAATAAAAATTTTTATATAAAAATATATATGACTGTACATATTTAAAACTAGATATAAATTATATATGTCTCATAATGAAAGATGTATTACATTAATAATTTTTTCCAAATATATATGTGAATGTCATAATGTTGTAAAATAAAATAAAAATGTTACTGTTTTTGTTGGGCAATTTTCATTCATAACTAATATTTCAAACATATTGAAATTAAATATTTAATTTAATAGTACATATGCTAAAAAGTAATTGAAACTGAACCCACTATGCACATATCATTACATTTTTCAGATAATTTAAGTTTGTTACTATAATCACCAATTTGTTTAGTTCTACTTTTCGATACCACCACTTTTATTACACCAACTTTTTGATAAACAAGTTTCAAACAGTAACACAAGCCTAAATGCATGTTGTTGTTTTTCTGTTCTTAAAAAAAAATGCATTTACAGTATGGTAGGCTCTTAATTAGCTGGCTTAGTAAAGTAACAGCAGCCTTTTGTAAAAATTATCGCGGGAGGCGGAGGGAAAAAATTGAAGAATGCTGAAATAGTTATCTGTACATTTTACCTTTTCCTAGGAGAAACTTTTCACTTTTGAGAAGGTTATTAAGAAACAATTATTATTTCTCCATGCATCATTGATCTTAAATTATTTAATTAGTGTTCTTAATAATATAATATAAGAGAGAGGTAAAAAGTGGAACTTTATCTAGTTATCTTGTCAACGTTTCCGCCTGATTAAACCGGATAGGCAAGAGTCTACTCTACTTTTTAAAAAGAACTCAATTTGAAAAAATACTGAATTTTCATAACAGGGATTTTTAGTTAATAACTACAGTCGGAACTCTATTTAACGAAATCGCTAAATACCGGTAATAAGTTCGTTATATGGAAAATTCATTAAATAGAAAATCACCATTTGAAATACTTAAACACAACAGGTTTTAAATTCATAAACACTAGACATAATTAAAATAGCAATTGATACACCTTTATTTTGCAGACTAGCATCTACTATTTACTTTATAAATCTTAACCATAAAAGAAATCTGCATGGAAAGCAAGAATAGAGCAAAACATTGTCCAGGACATGCTACATACATTTTAAACTAAAAAAAAGCTAAATTTTTGTATAAAATTATAGCTGCATTTATTATATAAGTAATTTTAAACATACATTACATTCTTAAATTTAATTGCTACTGATAAAATCCGTTAGTTTTGTCTAAGTTTTTCGTTTGAAATGCAAACAAAAAGGGAAATGGATTTTACTGCTTTCTTCAAAAGTTAAGAGCTTTCGAAAATCAATTCAAGGTCATTTCCCCCCATAGAATATGTTAACAAGTTCGAAATATTTTGGGAAATAGGGAAAGAGGATCTCAAAGAAAAATTTGTTAAATGGAAAATTTACTTTGCTATTTGGAAGTTATTTTACGAAGAAATTTCCAAACTGTTCTTTGTTCTTCGAAAAAAATTGCAAAATAGAGAAGTTCGCAAAATGGAAGTTCGTTAAATAGAAGTCCGACTGCATTTTAGTAATCAAGGTTATGCTGCATTTGGAATTATACAGTTTAGCAGCCATTGCCCATTCCATTTATTAAAGCTGAAATTGAATTTCAGACCATACAAAACTGTGCAACAAGTATTTCTACCATGCTGTAGTGAAAATTAAATTGCTTTTTTTTCCCACTGGAGCTAACTTTGTTACATGCACAGCATACATAAACAAGTATTAACAGATAAAAAGTAGAAATACATACACTTTAAAGGTTCAAGTAGAAATACATACTTTAAAGGTTAAAAAAAAATATTTTTTCTTCTTCTTTTGAATTAGGCTAAAGCTTGTTTACAAACACAGGTAAATATCATAAAACAAATTATTAACAAAACAACAATAAAAATATATAAAAAACTCAACGGAACTAAAAAATAATCAAACCAAATAAATTATAAAATCACATAAAAACAAGGAGAGAAAAACAAACTTTTGAGATTTAACTGAAAAGAAAACTGATTTATTGCATTCAATAAATTTGGAAGCACAATATATGGAACTCTCTAAATTTATAAAAAAATATTAACACTTTTTCAGATATGTCTGCCATTATATTATACCACAAATTATTTAGGACAAAAAGTTTTTTTAAAAAATATGATATGTTTCAAAAGTTGAAATAAATAGAATATGAAATTTTTTTTCATAACTCTTTATTTATTTATTTTTCCATCAAAACATAAAACTAGAAGTTACAATTTTGTTTTACTTACAACTTCAACTCATAATTTTGATGGATCCTCAGGCTCAAGGTTAATCGATCCAATTTTCTAAATAAGAAGAAATAAAAAAAATTTAAAGTATAAGATTCTATAAACAATTTTTAACTCTGTATTATAAAACCAATTACATATGGGCTTAATAACTTGAATCAGAAATAAAAATTTTAATGTTTTATTATTTTCTGTCATTTAAGCAAATCAAAATGTTAATTTTTAACGCTCAAGTTTTATTATAATTTTTTAGACCAGGATAAAGCATATGAATTTTGAAAATTGTATAGCTACTCGAAATTTTAAATTTGAACAATTTTTTCCTTAACTCTTAACTTGAGGGAAATATTTAGCCACTAACTGATAAGAAATTTTTTAAAAAAAATTTGAATAAGGCAATAGATAACAGTTACTAAAAAAATAATTTCTTAGCTCATAATAAAAATATTTTTAAAAAAATTTAAAAAATGTTAAAGTTAATCTATATTATAGTTTCCTTAAGTAGGCAATGCAAAAATTTAAAATCATCAACTTGAAAAAAAAGAGGTTCTAAACAAAACACATTTTATGGAATCGACCATTAGACATGGAATTGTCATCATCTATCATAAAATTAAAATATAACGTCTCTTTTATTAATTTTTAATAATTCTTTTAATTTTAAGGCTCATTGAGGGTTTTTTTTTAAAAATTCTATGTCATCTAACTATTGCAAGAAGATTCTAAGTGGTGATTTTCCTAATTTAAGAACATCACCTTTAGAAAAGCAAGATGCTATTTGCAAAACACATTTTATAAAATTGCCAATTAGACATTTTGTATAGAGTTGCCCATTAGACTCATCTCTCATAAAATTAAAACATGCATTTTCTTTAGTAGATTTTACTTGTTCATTTTATTTTATTTTTTTACTATTGAATTATACATCATACTATTGCAGGAAGGTTGTATGAGGCATTTTTCTGAATTTTACATCAGCTTTACAAAACCTAGCAAAAGCAACAAAATATTTACAAAGCACATTTTATAGAATTAGCCTTTATCTGTTATAAAATTAAACTAGTTTTACTGTCCTTCACTAGCTTTTACTTGTTCAATACAATCTTTTTTCTTTTCATTTTACAATTTACCAGTTTTTTAAAAAAGACATTTCCTTATCAAAAACTGTCTTGTTTCACTTTGTAGGGAAAAAAATAACATCTATGCATACAACATATAGACTTTTTTATAACATGCTCCTAAACCCAGGACAGAAATGAAAGTAAGAAATAAAAAAATATAGGACTTTTAAAAAAAAAAAAAATAAAGGACATAAAAATATTACTTCATGCATATTTTTTTATTATAATCAAAACCATTTAATAATTAAAAACTTACCTTATTTAATAACTTACATCAAGCATTAATTTTATCAACTAAATTGCTAAGATTCTAACAATAGGTTACGAACATCCAAATACCATACTCTACATTCATTTTTTGGTCTAAAATTAAATAATATACTAGAAAATAACATAGTTGAATTTGTATTTAAAGTTATTTTGTAAGAAATATTTTCTTTGAAGATTTTCAATTTTTTTTAGGCCAGTTCTATCAGAGCCTGAGCTGCGTCGAAATTTTTTTTTATGCATTTATGTTTTATTCCAGTTATGAGATGTTGGTTGCTTTCATCACTTATAGACTGAGCACTTGATACTTTTTCTTTCAAGATAGAAAGTTTCTCAAGTTTTACTTAAGGCACATTTTCTTTTCATTCAAAAGTTTTACTTAAGGCACATTTTCTTTTCATTCAAAAGTTTTTCAGGGGGCAAGTAGTATTTGGCATATGCATTCTTATAAAAAATAATCTTTTTTTTAATGACGCCAACCTTTGCAAAATCAATTATGAGACAATTTCTCAGAAAAAATCAGTTATTGCAATATATAGCTATTCAACGTCAGCATAAAAATCTGCTTTCAAGTGTCGACTTAAGGAACCTAAGAGCTGTTTAGTACTAATATCAAATATCAATGTTTTTAAATATTTTGGAAAAAACAGGGTTTACAGGACAGTTTCAGTAATATAAGGCAAAGTTTTAAATATNAATTTGTAATTAATAAGCATTAATTAAATAATCCGACAATATTTTGAAAGTCCAAAACCGCAACTAACCGTAAGTCGAATTTCCGATATGTCGAAGTTTTTCGTCAGTCCTATCAGATTCGAGTTATCGCGAATTCACTGTATATATATTGATCCCTTTTAAAAGCCTGCACTTTGTCATAATGTAATTCAATGTTTATACTATTCATTTCAGAAAATGAATTCACACATATTTTAAACAGATTATGCATTCTATGGCGGCAATGTGATAAAGGAGAAAAAAGGTATCGGTTTTTAAATTTCACTTAATTTTTTCTTGCAGATCTATAAATAAATAAGTATAAGAATTCCATAACAAATGTTTTTTTCTGCTGTAGATTACATTGTAGGCATAAAATCTTACCGGGAGAACTTTACGCTTAACAGCAAAGTGTTTGTTTAATTCTCTAAACTCTTCTCGAAGCTTAAGAAGTTCAAAACATACTTTTGTATCTTCAAACCTCAAATTATCAAATGACTTTAAAGCAGCTGCTTCTTCTATCTAGGTAGTGAGAATATATATTAATATTCATGGTTAGACACATAAATTACCTAATTTCAAAATATTTATATCTTTGAAATTATTACATATATTGTAAATGAAACAAAAAAATTGGGAATATTTCAGTATAAATATTTTGTCATACCAACTACAATCACCAAAGGTGCAAAATTTTAAAAAAATATGTAGAGCTTGTCCATAGGTGGCTACAAGTTATAACCATTATTTTAATTCCCTTCTGTTATTTATTTATTTATTTATTTTAATTTTCTCAGACTAATGACCAAAAGTGGCCAAAACTTGGCAATTATTTTAGTGCAGGATATAAAAACAGAAATCTTCCCACAAAATTAAAAAATACTAATTTTGTTAATTAAAGAATACTAATTTTGTAATAAAGAATACTAATTTTGTAATAAAGAATACAATTTTTTTTTCCATTTACAAATGTTTTTGTTACACAAAAAGGAAGCTTGCACCACACATTTTTTAGTTCCACGTGCATTCTTCTTCAATGCACATCAATGGTTCATAAACAGTGTCTTGGACAGAGGTTTATCCTTAATCCTATGGTTACCAGATCTCTGAGCCCTTTGCCATTATATTTCTTTTTAATGAATCTTACCAATAGCAAGACCACAACAAGAACTTAAAGAATGCTTTTATTCAGTATTGGAATCAATGAGAGTATGAAACTTCAAAATGTGCAGAATGAACTGGATTAATGTGAAAAATGTATGTCAGCATAAAAAGAGAATAAATAAAAATTTTAATTGTTACACATTAAATAGTTTTATGTAATTAAATGAAGAATAAAGCAATTAACGATTACATTTTGATTCTTAGAAGCTTAGCTTAGAATTTAGATGGATACATTTTTAACTGTTGAGGCAAATCTAAAAATACCAGTTCACAAAAAAAACGATAATTTTAATAACCTTTGATCTAATAAATGGACTTACCCAGACTAAGTCTCAGCCTTAATAGTTCGCGGGCCCAATCCTAAATATGTTAATCTATTAATTTACACGATATTAAAAATTATTAATGTACATGTTAGGAAATTATAGGTGCAAATACTTCCTGTGAACAAACATACCTTCTTTTCACATGATTGGAATCAAGTAAATATTAAATGTTAGGAAAAGAATAAAACAGTTAATTGTTATATATTGTAAAATAATGTTAATTGTTTTTTAGAATTAGAATACAAGCACATTTTGACAGAAAGATGATAGCTGAATATTTATTTATACCTTTGCCTCATTCAATTCCTTTCTAAGGCCATCTAAGCCCTTTTCAAGGTCATACTTTCTAATCAAATATTCTGGACCTTCAATCTCATCTAAAAGATTTTCTAAATCAACATTGCGGGAGAATTTGTTGAGCATCTCTTGATCTAACTCTCGTTGTGCTCTATTAAGATCCTGATGTTTGTAGAATAGGTCATGTTTTGAGTCTGCAAGAGTTTCCTTCAGTGACCTAATAAGTTTCCGAATTTATAAATAATTTAACAGACAGTTAACAAATGCAAACAAAAATACAGATAGGTAGATTTTAATGAATATAACTAATGATGTTTACTCCAAAAAACAGAAAAACAATAGTTTTAACTTTTTTTTCCAATTTTACTTAGGTAAAAAAAATTAAATATTTTAATTATATTGATATTTTTATTCATGATAGTATTTGCAACTGACTGTCTGCCTGCACAGCTGTTTGTAATGGGTTCAAGATGAACAGTGATCACCTAGCTTCCAAAGAATTGGTTTTACCTTATGTAGCATTGCAATAGACTTTTCTAGTACATAGTAAGATTCCAACATTTTATGAACGATATTAGAAAGTATCAGAACAAAATCTCTCTTTGGCCATCAAACAAAATGAAATTCGTAATGGTTAAATAAAAAAAAATATTTGGAATGTTTGTTACTGATAAATCAAGACTGAAAGATAAACCTAGATTTAACCTGTTAAGAAACGAAGAACCAATCGAATCCTAGGCGGTTAAAGTTCAAACGCTTCCAAATTTAACCAGCTTAAACTCTATCTAATCAATCCTACACAATGAAAGCTCAAAGTTACGTTATATTCTTTGATAAAGCAATTTATTACAGTAGGTAATGCATAAATAAATAACTCTAAACCTGTATAGAGCCTAAAAGTCCCTTCTTAAGATATTAGAATTCATTATTTTTTAAAGTTAAGAGAACGGAAGAAACTTTTCATCGCAAATTCTCTTACACTTCCGTAATGAATTTAAAAGTTCAAGTATAGAGAAAGTGAGTTTAGACAAACCTAGAGTAAGCCATGGAATTTCAAAAACTGAAAAGAAATTTTTAAAATATTAAAATGAAAATAAATTATGAGATAACTTAGGATTACGCAATGGTCTCTTCCAATAATTTGTTTGCATTGTGATTTTTTTTTTCAACAATTGAAACTTCATGGCCTACTCTAGCTTAGTTTGAACAAACTTTTTCTTTTTCTTAAATTTTGAATTAGTAATGGAAGTGAAAGAGAATTCACACCAAAAAGCTTTTCTCAAGGTATAGCATCCTCTTAAGGACCACTAACTAGTATACCACATATTCCCTACATTAATGTTTTTTAAAGTAAAAGGATGTGACCGAGATAATATTGTGTACTATAGATTATCACCTTCCGGCTTCAATCAACAAGGTTTGGTTAGACCCAGTTTTAGCTGGTTAAAGGTGGAAGCATTGGAGATTCATTGGACTTTAAGTGACCAATATATGCGATTCTCAACTATAATGAGTTAGACCGAAGTTCATCCTTCATGTCATCTTTATCTTTAGCATATTTGCTTGAATAATGGCTCAAGACATCAGGAAGATTGCAACAGCTTCTGAAATTCAAAGATCCGAAGCACCAAAAGGCTGAAGTCTTATTTGGTTCCAATGCTTGCAGATCTTAGCTGGGCATAAGGAAATGCATAGATGGACACACCTTTGTAGCTCAACCAGGAGTAAACATTTCAGACAGACATCGCCCATTCCATGTATTACACCCCTTAGACTCATCCCTGGTGTAACAGTCGAACTCCAAGTACGGCCTTTACCATCAAAGCTGATAAAGTTGTCTAGTACATTATTAGTAGGCTTGCAACCAGCCACAATAAATGTATTTCCTTTGATAAGGGGCAGAAAACATTTTTGATGTGTAGTAAATGTAACACTGTGAAGACCTCCCCTGACCATCTCTTGACCTGTTCAGTTCTTGACAGTGATGATATAAATTTCAGACCTCATCTTGTTTATGACTTTTTGAAGGTTCTTGGACTCATGGACTAGTCTACTATTAGATCATGAGGAATAAGTCATCGTCATCATCATCGTATTTTAAAAACTAAATATATTTGAGTAATTAACAAAATAAATCTATGATTTTGTACACTCCATGACAATACATAATAAAATAGGAACAAATGAAAACTGAAGATTTTAAGCTTTTAAACCAGTCAAAAAACTATGCAAGTTTCAAGTGCAAATGTTTTGAAAACCTATTTATATATAATTATTATATTTTAGTATTAACTCACTGAAACTCTTGCTCCAAATCCTTAATAGATTCTTTCATTTTGTAATAAGACTCCAGCATTTTACGTACAATGTTGACATCAACCAAAACGAAATCTGATTCAGGACGTAAAACATACTCAACTGATACTTCACTCTTTCGTGTTGGAATGATATGAACCGCTTCGACTTTCAGAATCTCTTCTTCTTTCAATTCGACTTTTTGATAAAACTCTGGATAAGGGAAATGATCTGCGTCCTCTTCCTGCATACTTACAAGAACAGGCATGGTCAATACAAGACCACCTCCAGGATATGTAGGAAACCGTTGCTCAACATCACTGTCAACAAATTCACAAGCTTTTTCATCAGATCCACCAGATTCATAACATTGTAAATCATACGTAAATGGACGCATATAGTAATCTAAATCTAAAGAAATGTTATTCTGTGTGAGTTCAGAATAGTCAATTGATGTTATTGCAGTCGAAACAATTGCATCACAGTTTAGGCAATCCATTGTGCAATTGGTATCCAGTTTGGGTGAGTCTTTAATTGTATTTATATCATACTGAGAGGTTGAAGGATGTTTTTCAACAATATCTTCATCTGCTACCATATATTCTGTCAAGTCAAACTCATCAACTTCTTTCTCTTTTTTAGTACTATCTTTTTCGAGATCGTGTTCATTTTTGGAAGACGTCATAGTCTTTTTTAACAAGTCAGAGTCTCCATTCACATTTTCCTCATAAATCAAGTTATCAATGCTCTCTGTGTCTGAAGAGAACTCAACTTTCTCCAAAACATTTTTAATAAAATTAAATTCTTCCTCTTTGGATGAATCAACGACCACCAAAACTGAAGTTGGAGGGTACATAATGTTATGAAAATACTCATCCGTTTCAGACGAAACAGTTTTGATTAGAGGCGTCAAGAGCAGCACGACATCGATCAGATCGTTTATTTCAGCAGATATAACTAAGTAAAACAGGTGATGCACAGAACTTGTAACAAATTTATTTATGACAGCAACTTGAGTGGTGATGACTTTCCGGATTCTAGCCATTTCTTCATCCATAATTTGCTTTTGTTCTCCAACATCATAATTCTGATTATCTATGTAGTTTTCATGTAAATTTTCAGGGTACAAGATTACAGGCCACTTAAAGGATTCAGCCTCTTTTTTACGAGTCGACTGAAATAAAAATGCACTTAAATTATTTTCTAGACTTTTTTGCTATTTCATGGTTTAACTCAACTAGGTGTAAGGAAATTACATTATAATTCACGTAAAAATTATATTTTTCTGTTGAGGTTACAATAAAATGGTTTCTTGAAGAAGTACCAGTGAGCAACATACACATAGCACTAGCACAACTTCTTTTTAAAATTATTTTGATGCATCATCTTTAAAAATATGATTTCTTTCATGTTGTTGTTGTCTAATCTATTACAGTGCTAAATATTCGCAATATAAGTTTAGAGGATAATTTTTGCGATTTCTGGTGCCTGAGGATTGTATAGGATGTCCTCTGGTGGTGAATTGAGTTTAAACAGTATAGCTAGAGTGGCCTGATAGTTGAAAATGTGCCCTGGTGGGATTTGGTGGCGATGTTTGCATATGGGGGCATGGTATGGTCTGGTCTAAAGATATCTTCATGTCCTTGAAGTGCCGTGTTTGAAGTCTTTCTAGGATGGATGAGAGGTTTCTAGGACAGTTAAGATGTTCGCATTAAATGTAGCACTGTTTCTTTCATAAAAAATTACACATAAATGCATTTATTTTATTTTATAATTGGTGTTAAACAACCAATCCAATCCTGAGTTTATGACTCTCAATGTTTAACTCTGTAGCCTTGTTATTTTGAGTACAGAAGACAAAGGAACTCTTGGATCAAGTATTGGGCGAAATTCGCCTTTGTGGAGAACCTTTAGATGTAACTATCCAGCATTAGCATTACATGGAGGGGAAAACCACAAACACCACCCACAGTTAGCCTGACTGCGAGGATACTTCAATACATGATTCATCTACCACTGAGAATATTTTATGTCAGCACTGTGGTTGAAATCTTATTGACCAGCTATCTCTTGAATTCGAACCTTGTTTAACTCATTGGACAGGGAACACTCTATCCTCTAAGTTACAGCGTCTCAATTGTATATTCTAAATTGTGACTTTAAAAATAATACAAAATAAGTATCATTTCTGTGAAAAATTCAAAAATTGAAAATCGCCTTAGAAATGCGTCATGTCATGATTTCATAATAACCTACAAACCTCCTCTTACTTACATTACAATAGTTAATCAGTATAAGTTATTCCCTTTTTCTCTTGATGTTGAACTGCATAAATTTCACCCAATATTCCAAAATATATACTATTTTCTATTATCATGAAACCTGATTTAAGCTAAAGAAATCAAACTCCCAAAAAACCTAAAAAATTATTGATTGGAGTTATTTTACAATTCACAATTTTCAACTAACAATATATTATTGAGTTTCGAAAGCTATAACGATTAATATTTCCGTTAAAATGTTGTGAAAAAGTAACAATTCCAACAAAAATGTGCTAATAGTTGTGTCACATGAAAATTTAATTTTTCTTTCTATAAATTGAGTGTTCATGCTTAATATCTAAGAAACTGATCAATCTTACAGATGAATCCCTTGATGATTTTATCAAACTTAAAAAGGATTGGTATGGAATCCTTTTAGTTAAGATGCAAAAAGGTATAGACAAGAGGAAATTGACTGATATGTGATACAATGCGATCAGAATATCTCCACTTTGTATGTTTCGCAATGCTTTCACTTTTATTAAAAATACTAAGATTAGAATGATTGTACATTTAAAAAATAATTTCTAGAATTGTATGATTTAAAACGCAGGGTTAAAAAAAATAAGACAATTAAAATTTAGGGTCTTAATATCTATATTTCAGTAAGACTCAGTGATTTTATACACTTATAGGAAAGAGTAAATGATAAAAATCAGGAAAAAATCAGAATGTATCATTTGTTAGCATTCACAAAAACTTCTAATGCATTCATGAAAAAAAAATTAGTCCTGTTCCATAATTCATCACACAATGTACTTATATACTTACAATAAATTTTTAACTTTTATGAAAAACAATAATATACTGTTAATAAAAAAATTACTTAATAAATATTACCAAAATAGAATCAACTTTTATGAAAGTATCAGTCATAGAATCATGCAGTTTTTGAATCTTCCTAGCAATGGCATTTTGCTTGGTCTTTAAAATTTTACATTTTCTTTTATAGATTTTCATTCTTTTCTCAATCTCTTCTTTCTTTTGACGGAAATCCATGACTTTTTTTAAAATACTTTCATCAATTTCAGATGGACTAAAGCTTCGATTATCATCCTCACTCTCAATGTCTTGCTCACTTTCAGAGCTTTCGCTACTGGAATGACCTAAAAATTAATATTTTTACATTTGGTTTCTGTTTCAAAAACAAAACACACAATAAATATGATTTAAATATAATAATTAGAACTTTTGTTTAGTTGTTTAGTAACTTTATAAACTGAAAGAAAAAAATTACATCTGAAGTTGTTTTATAAAAATAAATTATGTATTTTTTCTAAAAAAAAAATTTAAAAAAAGATAGCCAAAAATAGTTAAAGACTCAAGAAAAATATCTAAAAATGGTTAAAGAGAATATAAACACAAAATTTATACAACACTTACGACGATAAGTTGATTTAGCAGCTGACAAAGCTCTTTTAACAAATATTTGTTTGAAATAACCTTTATGCCTGTTATTTCTACCAACTACTTTCATCATGTTCTCATAACACTGCTTCCACTTTGCTTTTTCTTTCGACCGAAAATCTTTTAATAATTCAATATTGGTCTTAACTGTAACCAGCTATAAGAAATTAAAAAGGTTTCATCACAAAAATATATGTTTAATGAGAGTCTTTTACCCACCCACACAATACAATAAGATAGATAAAATAAGATAGATAGATAGATACATTAAGATGAGGTAGATACAAAAAGTATATTATAAAATATAATAAAATATGTGTTCTAATAAAATCTTGAAAATTCAGTTACACGAAGAAATAATTCTAGATTATGTTAGTGAATTATAAACATAAAAAACATTTAACAACAGATTCAATTTTGATATTGATATTTATAGTGGAAGAGAAACAGTTTTAAAAAGCTAAATAAATGCAATTTCTTAATGAACCAAGAATAATGATGTATATACAAAGATATGCAATTTTCTAAATATCTTTGTTTAAAATTTAACCTAACATATTACATACAAAAAAAATTTTAAAAAAAAACTGAAAAATTCTTTAATAATTCAATTGTAACCATCACTGTAAATAACTAAAATTCAATAAAAAGACTTATCATAACCAAAATATCGTTCACTGATTAACATTTTTAAGCCAAAACAATAAATGGTTCATGCAAAATAATAACTTTAAACAAAAATGCATTACAATTAACAACTAACACTACTTGAAAAATAAACTTTGAATAAATATCGCAAGTATAAATAATAATTGAAAAACATCTTTTTCCCCAATTCATTCTCTAACTGTAATTCATTTTATTTCAAATGCCTGACTAGTGAATACTAATTCTTCTTGAATTGAAAAACTATATTTTTCTGTGTAAAGGGCTGTTTAAATAATATGTAAACATTTTACAAGGATTAGGCATTGTATATTTGCTGATTAGGGAGAGGAGGCATGAAAAATGCTAACATAAAACATTACAATTTGCTTCCTTATATTTAAAAAATTTTAATAATACCAACAAAAAAAACTAATGTAACAAAAATATGAGAAAAATATTAAAGTTGGAATTAAATTCAGAGAAAATAAGAGTTGAAAAAAATTCTTTGAAGAGTTTCAGAAGTCATGAGTTTTGACAACAGAAGGAAAACAAAATATTCTAAAGTTCTACTTAAAATTTTATAAAATGAATGACTATGTAAATTTTGTTTGTTGCAAAGTTACATAGTTTTAATATTTTATGCTCAAAAATAATTATTATGAAATATTTATTGCACTAAAAATGATTCATGCTAAAACTGTGAGAAGTGAAGATATTCACAATAAAAACAAACTTTTGAGTTTAAAACGAGGGATGACTCTGTAATATGTTTAAATGTGAAAATTAGTGAACATAAAGAACAAAAGAATTCATATTACAAATCATTTAAGGAAACAAAAAACAATCCAATGGATTCTAACTTTAAAAAAATGTGAAAGAGAGGAAGGAATAATTTGGTGAAAAATAAACTTGCCTCTTCTTCTTCACTTTTAACATCCATTTGAAACTTCTCTATTATTTTAGTGCACCTTAGTTCATCCATAACAGTTGATTTTAATGCATTTAACTCCAAGCATTTCATATTAAACCTACAAATAAGAATACTTATAAAAAACAAGTACTTTAGTTAATGTTTACCATTAATATTTAATAATCTTTTTTAAAAAAATATAAGAATTTTACATAAATAATAAGTTCATTGATTGCTTTTATATATATATATATATATATGTAGTAACAGGGCTCCAACCCTGTTATCAGTGTTGTATTTAGCTTGAAATAATAGCAGTCATAAGCCATCAGACGTTCTAAACAGGTTTATTTAAATATAGGCTGGTATTGCTAACAGTTTACGTCCACACTCCCTATGGGAGGGGAATGGACAAGACTTCTGACAATTCCTGAACAGCTTATCAGGATCAAATCATGATGAAAGGACACGCAAAACTATGCGTTCTTACGTTTTATACCAACATAGATTTGAAGTAAAAAGGCACATTCGTACATTCCTTGTAACCTTATGCATTAAGGAAAATCATTTCTGCTTCCTTATATGGAATTGAAAAAGGGAACGATTCTAAAAATAACTCTTCCCTTGAAATATAAATCTATTTATATTTCAATGGTATGTTTTCAGCCTTGAATTCCCAAAATAGAATCTCTCTACGCTTATTCTTTAACAAAGACATTTTATGAAAACGAAAGAGTTTTAGTTCTTTTATTAATACAAAAGTATTTACTTTTTGTATTACATATATATATATATATATACAGAGAGAGATTTTTTCTAAAGGAGAAGAAAAAATTAGTAAAATATGTTTTTAAAAAAATATTTTAAATTTTAAAAATTTTTTACTTCTAAAAAAAAATATTTGGAAAATAAAATAAAATAAAGAAAATATATAATCTCGTCGTCAACTCACAGGATTATATGTCCTATGACTTTAACTAAGTTTAATTATTAAAATAAAATTCTAAATAACATTCTTGAACATTCAAATCACTAAAATATAATTTATCGCATGGTTTTAGTAAATGTAGATACATAACAATTAGTACTTTAGAGATAATGTCACTGGATTGGGTCCAAATGGGTCCAAGGTTATGGATTTGAACACTGATAAAAACGTTCAACTCTTAAGAACTTGAAATTGGTTTGATAAAAGAATTTAATCAGTAATCAAAAGATAGAAAATAAGGACACAAGAACAAAAAGTTTTTGAAAAATCCACATTTAGTTCGACAACTATCTGAAATAATACTTGCCTAATATCAAAAAATTTCTTTTCACAGTCCATTTTAGCTTTCACTAACTGCAAATAATAATGGAAAGCTTGAAGTTTTTTCTGTTCCCATAAGTCATTAGTTGATATTTCTTGCAGATCAGATGGTAATGATTCAGAATGTTGTCGGCTATTAGACAGAACACAGAATAATAAATCTTTACATGTATTCAATATTTTTAAGCCACTAAAACTTCAAAATATGTTAAACAAAATTACCTTAATGTAGGTACAAAGGAGAATTAAATAAAAAGTACCATTCTTGTCCTGATACTCTTAGTCTTAGTTTTATTTAATTTTAGGAATAACTATAAATTTTTATTTTTCAGAATAATGTCTATTGTTGCAAAAATTATTATTTTTTATTTTTTTACAGCTCTTTTAACATGTTTAATTTCATATGAAGAAATTCTACATTTCTTTGATGCTATTTTGATAAAAAAATATCTACTTATTTTCAGTTTTTAATAATCTGAGTTAAGCGAAGTTATAATTAGCTAATATTATCAAGATTCTAGAGTGTATTAAAAAACCAAATCCTACATTACTGAAGAAATTTATCCTAAAATATAGTAGTTCTTGCTATTAAAATATTTGATTTTGAAACAGCTGCCAGTATTAAAAGGCTATTGCAACTATTTTTTACCAGAATTGGATAACAGATAAATAAAAAATTATGTTTAAAATTAAATAGTTCAAAATATTTCAATTTAAAATGGATAATTTGTAATTAAAAAATAAATATTAAAAGTTATCTATTTTTTGCTTATTCATGGTACAATAAAGATTTTAATGATATCTGCTTTGTGAAGAAAACTAGAATAAAAAAAGACAAATGGCATGGCTATGCCAAATTGCCAATATATTTTTTGACATATTAATGAATTAGTAGTATAAAAAAATTCTGAAAACACCTCTCAAAAATTACTGAATACAGTATAATGGAAAATCCTGTGTCTGTAATCCTATTATTTCAACAAAACAAAAAAAAGATAAATAAATTCCCACAAATATTACACCTTAAACTATAATTAATTAAGAAACAATTGCTAAGAATTACATATTATTTTGTTTTTAATAAATTAATGAATCCAAAGAAAATATTGATTCCAGATAGATAACTACATAATTTTACACACACAACAGGTAATCTTCAAAACAAAAAAGATGCAATTATTTTCCAAAAATCTTGAAAGAAAATAACATTTGTTGCAGCAAATGTTTTAAGTTTTATTCTAAATAAACATTTAAACACACTAAAGCTTCCATTTAATGAATAAAGAAAATGACACAGAAAAAAGTCATTTGCTTTTGTTAGATTTTAAATACATTAAACACAATCATAGCATTAAAATGTATTCTACTACTAAACTTTTCATTAAAAACTGGCAATACATAAATGTCTATTTAATAATTCAGTCTTCTGTTTTATTATAAATTTTAATTTATTTGACAATTTATAAATTCTTTTTATGCTTATGATTAATTTTCCCTTTAACAAATTTTTATAATACATATGGATAAAATGATAGATAATACACTGGATATGACCTCTTAAGTTCAAGCTAAAAGGTTTTGAGATGATTTTTTTAGCATATAGTAAATAGGGAAAACATTATTGATAATTAAATTATAAAGTTGAAAAAGTTTAAATAAAAACTAGCGTTTTCAGTAAATATAAAATACATCTTAGGATTTCTTTTAATGTAACAGCATTTCTTTTATTCATTATGGCTAATGTATTATGGGTCTAAACAGAGATAAAACACATAATTTATACAGAATGGTAATCTATACAAAATCGAAAAGACTGAGAGTGTATGCACTGCCTATGCATAATTTATGAAGAAATAGAATTACTTTCCGCATTTACCTCATTTTGATAACAGAAGAGAATTTCCTAACGGAAGATTTTCTACTGTCAACAACAGTACTCCCCCAATTAATCTAAAAACAAAAAATTAACAAATTAATAAAAACAAACAAAGCATAGTTCAGAAAGTAATTCAACCTTGTCTTACAATGCACAAACTATTTTTTTATTGAAATATATAATAAATGATTAAATAAATAAATTATTTAATAAAATTTGAAATCATGAAGATCAATAAAAATAAATATTTATATTTTCAACAACAAAAAAATAAGATAAATTTATTTCATTTCAAAAATAATTTTAAAATAAGTGTACATTGAATTTTTTTTATTATATTATAGTAGAAGATCTTTATATTATAAGCCTTGAAGCATGAGGCTTAGGGTAAAACTAACTGAATTAAGCTCACCTATAAACATATATGTAACATACATACCTATAAGCATATATGCAACATACACACCTATAAACATATTATATATATATCTGAAACAGATCAATATTTATATGCTTAAAATTTAGTTTTTAGAAGCAAATTACTTTGAAAAAGACAAACACATTTACTTTAGTATTCTTATTTACAGAAAAAAACTGAAATTATCAAGAACATTAGAGGGTAATCTCTTATTCAATTTTTTTTTCTTTGCATCTTGTGAACAGGTGATGGTTATAGTTAATTTCCTCAATGTGATTTTTGTTGCTTAAACCGGAGAAGTTAAAATGGTTTATGGAGAATTGCCACTTATAGAGTAGTATTATATAAATCTTCGACTGTATATTTAAATAATAGATACTTGAAACAATGTAACCAAAACAGAAAGCTTAAAAGCAATAATACAGATTAAAAAAGCCTTAATACAAACTTAAATGTGAAAAATAGTACCTTTGGATAGACTTTCTTTACATCAGACTGCTGTCCTTTTTTATTTGATATATGAATGTCAAAACAATTCTAAGATAAAAAAAAATCAAATAAATAGTTTATTAGTTCAAATATAGTAAGTTTTAATACTGAAGTGAAGTTATCACTAATTTTACAAAGTTCAGCTATGGGTTTTATACAATCTGAGATAAGCCTTGAGATATGCCTTGTTCAATTTTGTTGGCCTGTGTTAATTTACCAAACGTCAACATTAAAATAATCATGATATTCAATGAAATTTATCTATTTTATTTACAGTGAATTTTAAATTTATCTCAACTAAATTAATTTTTTTTAGTGAAATTTATATATAGCTTTATTTATAAAATTGTTAAAATTCAAATGTATTAAAAAAGATGTAAAAAGCTTCTGAAAGATTTCAAACCAATAAACTTTAAATTGTAATAAAAACATATCTAAATAAGAAATGAAATAAATATTTACTCTAAATTATGCTTAGAATAATAGAAACATAAGCATAGAAATAATGTTCGATCAATAATAATTTAAAAAGGATACTATTTTAGACATTAAAGAAACCATAAGACATTTACATTCAAAATTAATAAGAATTTATATAAAATACTTTTTAATATAGACATTTATATTTAAAAAGATATACCAATTTATTATGTTGTTGTTGGTCATACTCAGTAGAAGATAAATGTTTATGGCTAACAGTTTTGTTTGAACTGGATAAAGTATTTGCTTCAGCCACTAAAATGTTAAACTGCTTTTGGAAATCTCTCATCTAAAAGAAAAAAATATTTTTATTCAAATAAAAAAAATCATTTCTTAATTCACAAAATTCTATATTTCATTTTTAACAAAAATCATACATCTCATAATATGTTCCTTTACAATAAATAAGTATGTTAATTAATTGCTTGACCTCTACAAAAATTATATATGCTTGCCAACATCACTTGCTATCATCACAGTATGATTATTAAAAAAATATTTATTTAAAAAATTATTTTAAGTGAGTGTCTAATGTCTTTGGAGTAAATAGAACAATTTTCCTTTTTTCAAAAGGCAATTTAGAGCCAGCAGCATTTTTGACAAATTTGGAACAATAACTTGACTCCCTTAAATAACAGTTTGTAATCAAATTTTTTTAATGCAACATAAATCATTCATAAATCGTTATAAAGTAAACCAAATAAATACATCTACTAGCCAACAATATTTGCCATCATCATAATATAATTATTAAAAGTATTTAATTAAAAATTACTTAGTTAATATCTCTACCAGTTAGTGACTGTTTGAGGTTTTTGGAGCATACTGAAACAATTGTTTTGCTTTTTCCATCATTTTTTTAAAAAAAAAAAAAGCAATTTAGGGTAAGTATTTTTTCCATTTTGGGGCTGTAATTCTATTCCATTTAAAATTACAGTTGTAAATAAGTTTCTTTAATATAACAAAAATCATTTTTAAAATATACAAACTTGACTAAATTTCTTATTTCGTGAGAAAAAAAAATAATATTTAGTGTTCACAAATTTTTCAAAAGAATCCCAAAGAGTATTCCACAACAAATTTTACAAAATGAATGAAAATGTTTAATAAACTTTGTTTTGTGCAAAGTTACATCTTTTATTTGAATTAAATCCTAAAATTAGATTGCTACAATAAAAGTCAAAAATTAAAGCCAAAACCAAGAGGAGGGAGAGTATTGTGACTTTCTTTCGTAAGCACGAAGTGTGCTCGTGATCTGCTCATTTTTTCTGATAGAAAGAGAGGAGAGTCTAAAATTGCCAAAATTATGCTTACTTAAAATCTGAATGGTCTTTAATATCATTTGAGCAATTCTGTGCTCTGAAGCAGGTACAGTGCTTTTTAATTAAAGCAATTATCACAAAAATAACAAAACCATACAATATTAGAAACATTTTTAGATGCAGCAAAAATATAACATTTCAATTTCTTACTGGAATTTTATTAAAATACTTAATAAAATTTTTATAAAACTGAATAAACCTTTTTTGCAAACAGCTGTGTTTTGTCCTTCTTTTCAGAAAAAGTACACAATATGTCAGGGTATGCTATCTCTAATCCACATTTTTGCTTGAACTTGAAGAAAGTAGATTCCAGTTGCTCTTTTGCTTCATTGCAGATGCTTATATTGGGATGCATATTTTCAAACTGTTCATATTCTCTGATTAACTAAAAATAAAATATCACAGTTATTTAGATAACTATATTTTTATTCAACAGTTGCAAAATAATCAAACCAAGGCCAAAAGGCAGAATAACTATTTCAAAGAAATACTCACATTAATATGATGTCAATCTTAAATTTATACTTTTATAAGAGACTGAGCATTGAAACACAATAATCAATAAAATCCAAACATTTGTAAGTGAATAAATTTCTCTGAATTTTTTTTAGCATAAACTGGTTGATAAAGTAAAAATGAAATGCTGCTTTAAGATCAAATATAACTTGATGTAGAGTTTTGATTTAGAGTGGTAAGAATTTAAATGAAATAAAGTTTTCTGATGAAATTTGGGTGAAATGGAGAGACATAACTGAGGTCCTACGTCCCACGAAATGAAGAAATTAAAAAAAATAGTGTTTAAGAAATAAAAAAACTTTTATTTCATAGATTATAGCGATAAAACTAACACACAAACAGATATATATATATGTTACTGTGAATGATTGAAATTGGTGTTTGTTCACTTCTACCATTGAACGTTGACAATCACATACTAGCTTTGGTAAATGTACAAAATATATACTAGGTCTAGTTAAGTGCCACTGCCGGTATACTATTGCCCGGTATGCCCTACACGGATGTTTTTTAAGATTCTGTGCCACTACCCGGTATACATTTGCCTGGTATAGCCTACACTGCTGTTTTTTTAAGGTTCAGTGCCACTGTCCAGTATTGCCCAGTATACCCTAGACTCCTGTTTTTTAAGATTCAACTGCTCAGTATATATTTACGAGCTACTCTGAACACTGATGTTTCTCCTAATCTACCCTCAAGAGATATTAAAATATCAAATAAATGCAATTAGATCAACGAATAAATTAATAAATCGGATATAACAAAAATTTTTGACGTTCACAAAAGCAATTATGTGATTATTGACATTCACCAGTGAAAGTCAACATTCTCTTGATTTTGGTCATTCACAGCCGACTCAGTTTTTATTTTATAACAAATTTATGTTCAACTCTATAGCCTTGTGTATAGCACGAAAACCTCCCACAGTTAGCCCGACGTCAGTCAATTGGATTCTTCTCCATGATCCTTCTACCGCAGATGATATTTTACATCAGCACTGTGGTTGGTGCGAGCAGAGAACAGAATTCATATTGACCAGCTATCGCCAAATTTGAGCCTGGGTCACCTCATTGGGAGTGACCCAGACACTCTATCACCTGGGCAATAGTGGCTTACATATATATGCCGTTTGTTTCTTTCAAAATCAAAAATATATCCAAGCCAACTTTTAATAAATACTACCAAAGTGTTTATAAACTGGTTTCTTAGTGAAGTGCTAATAAATGTTAAAAAAAATTTGATAAATTTTTCTTAAAATACATAGTTACATAAGTCAAATAAAAAATATTAAATTTAATATTAATTAAAATTAAAATTATTCTACTGAAATATTATTTAAATATAAAATTTTAAAAATGCATTACAATTTTAACTACTATCAATAGACATAAAATTCTAAGTAAAATCAAAGAACTAAAGGAAGAAGATAATACAACAAAGAAAGTTTGATTTAAAAGACATAAACAGTAGACAAACAGAAACACATGCATGTATGTTCAAACATTTAAAATTATACCTTCTCAAGATCATTGATGCATTCTTTTTTCCTTTTGTTGTACTTCAAAACAACTGGTAATATGGGAGTGTCCTCAGTATAATCAATAAGAGCTTTACGAGTAGCAGACAATTTCATTTTCAGATTCATTAAAGTTTTATTCCTTTTGGTACTTTCTTGGATTCCCTCTGTAAATAAAAAATATACCATTACAAATTCCAAGTCAAGTTCTCATTGCGAAATTTAAAAAATAAAAAATAAATAAAATTAAAAAAAAAAACATTGTATTTACTTTTAAAAATTTGTTAAGTAATTTCACTGTTAATAAAAGAAAAAAATTTTATAAACGAAAAAAAATGACTAAAAAAATTTCTATAATTGTGAAAAAAGCTGCTTTGTAAAAATTTAAAAATTAAGATGCAAACTGCAGACCAAAGACATAAACATGACGAAATAAATGAAATTTCAGTCTGTTATTTAAAATTAAGTATAACAATACTGTGAGAAATATTTATTTCAGGCAAAATTTAAACACTAAAAGTAAGAATGTATTGTTTCTAATTAGAACTTAGTAATACTTTTAATGATAACAGGAAAAAAAGGAGAGAAAAAACATTATTTTAATTAAATGTTTAAGCAAAAGTAGGAAATTAAATATCATTTTAAAATATAATAATACACAAGGATAAATTTAAATTTTATGGAAAGAAACTTTCACATTTTATACTTTTTAATTAAATAATTTGAACTCTTAAAAAGTCCAAAAAGTTTTCTTACTTTCAATAATGACACTTATATAATGATATTATATTTATATTCAAAAGTTTGTTTAAATTTCTTAAGTAATGATTTTTTTAATGGTAATTAAAAGAAACAATTTATAATTTTTGCTTATATTATTAACTCATCATAAGATTAACTCTGTGAGCAATTAAAAAAATTTATTTTAAAGCATCTAAATTTTACGAGGAAACTATAGCATTTGAAATAAATCTTTCATAAAAATTCCAATTTTAATGAAAAGTGTAACACAATTAAAAATTAAACTAATTGCTTTCTTTGTATTTGATCAAAGCAGTGGAAAAGACAGTCCATATGAATATTATAATCCAGTATAATAATATAATGCATTATAATAAACCATTATAATAATATATAATATAATCCATATGAATATTATTAACCATTATAATAATGTAAATATGCATATTTAATAGATTTAGTTCTATTTATTATTTTTTTATATAATTTTCATATTTATATTGCTTTAGATTTCATGCATTCAAACATGCAAATTACATCTGAGAAAAATTTCAAATAGATTTTAAAATTTTCAAAATTTCAAATTAATGTAAAAGAGGTGAAAAACTCATCTGAGGTGAAAAACAATCTATTTCAGCATTGGCATAGATTTCAAGATTGTACAAGAATATTGTTTGTAAATGAAAAAAAAAACATTAAAATTCTAGTTTTAAAAAAAAAGCATCTCGATAAATAGAAAGCATCTTTAAACATGACTTTTGTAGAAAGTAAGAAATGAAAAAAATTTCAAAATTGTTTTTGTGTTTACTTATATTACCTTTAGCATCTTTAACTCCAACTTCATTTAGCATGTCAAATATACGAAGGTAAGATTTATCAACAATATCAGAGCATGACATAGGAAAAACACATTCTCTATAACTTTCCAATTTGTTACTCTCATATTCAACACACATCTTTTCAGATTCTATTCTAGATTTAAAGCTAAAATTCAGACAGTTAGGTTCAAATAGATAGTAAGAATTCCTAAATAGTTTTGAAATGAATTTTAATATAATACTCTATATGAAAATTTATTGTTATAATTGCTAAGAAAATTTAGACTATATTTAGTATGTGTTATAAAAAAATATAAAGTATAGAGCAACAGAAATGTACTTTAAATTATTTAGTTTTCTGCATATAATCTCTTAATGGATGAATGATGACGTTAGAAAATAAACAAAGCAGTTAATCACTTGGTAAGCATTTTAGAATTTTTAATATTTATTAACTTCGATACATCATATTGAGCTTCATTTTAAATCTTGGATAATTGACTAAAATCAGGATAGGACTTGATTGCTCTTCAACACACAAAATTTCTCTGTGAGTTATTCAATGAAAAATTTTTTAGTAAAAAATATTGCATATATACTTTTTATATATCCGTCGTTGAACAGCAGACCCAATTTTGGGGTNTTCAACTCCATAGCCTTTGCAATTTTGAACCAATCCAGAAGACAAGGAAACTCGTGGATCAGTACCCCCAGAGGTTTTGATTTGTTATGGGAACATGGAGGACTTTGTGACTCGACAGATTTAACGCGCACCAGTCACCATTTACTACTCGGGGAGTTTTCGGCCGGCATGGATCAAACCGACGAGCTCTTGTATACATGGGCCCAGCGCCCTACCGATATATTCTTGTCTAAGTTGTTATAAAATAGATATTTCATCACTAATCTCCTAATTAAATGATTCTCAGTTTATTATTTCAGTCACTGGATGTAGCTGTTTAATTATGTAATGTATAACTTTCAGTAAGTTTCACTTCACTACTAATCTATCCACCATCTTGTTAAAAGCACTAGCTTACCCACTTATATTTACAAGTTATGTTTATTTAAAAATAAACTCTTATTTTAAAAGACAATCTGAACTTTTTACTGAATTAATAATGCCTCAATTGATTGATTAAGCCATACTAGGCATTCCTGCACTATTGAGGAATATAAAGTGAAATCAACGCAAGGGAACAAGCACATGAAGAAGGTAAGCAATATTTATCTCTGCTACTTTTTATTCACACAAGTGCATGATTACCAACATAAGTAGTGCAACAATTAAGGAATTTAAGATACACTTTCATTTTGTACAGAAATGAAAATAGTAACAAAACAATATTAAAATAAATTTGAAAATTACTTACAAGTCATAGTATTTCTTGTGTAATAGGGTAAGGCACTCTGATTCTCTTTCAAACTCACTGTCAACATTCTGCAATAATCGTTTTGTGTCCTCCTCAAACACTTCAACTGCTTTTTGTGGCACAATCTGCAATATAACATAAAGCATGTTACAAAGCATACTTTGTGACTCAACCAATGCATGCTGGGTAAGCAATCCCCAATTCAAGAAGTTAGTGAAAATGAAGAAACTACATATGTTGAAAGTTTACATATTTAATATAAATTTAAATGCACATGAATGCATGCAAGCATTACCCTCAACAGCTTGTCATATGCCAGGGAGTCATGAAAATAAAGTCTTCACAAATTTTACCCCAACGGCACGATTGTGGCAGTATAGTCTACTAAAATGGTAACCATCAATCTGAAACTGGGTCGATTACAAGCCATCTCCGAGGATTGAAACTCAGTCCTTCACAATGGCAGTTGAATGTCCGTAACCAAAGAATTTTTGGAGTTCATGATTATAAATAAGCTTTACTAAATTATAATTATCTAACATAAAACAAAATTTTTATTCAGTGGATTTTGCATGGTCATCCATGACAAGTCTAAGGTTTTAAATTGTACACAAATTAGAAAGGAAAAAAAACTATAGATCATTAATATTCATCATACAAAAAAATTAAATGCTTAAAATATTAAATATGGTCAGTTATTCAATACATACATCAGTATTCAGCTTTAAATCTTCAGGAATTTCATCAAAACCTTTTAAAGATGACTCACATTTATTTAAATATTTATTGTATTCTTCTAAAACTATGTTGTATTCATTTTTCAACTGTTCCAACAATTTTAAGTTTTCATTTTTAGATTTTTCATTTTTTACTGCCATCTTTGTTTTCAATGCCTCTTCCAAAGGAAGCATACCTTCATCTTCAGCCACTTTGTCTTCATATGATGTCTAAAAAAATCATTTAATGAAAATTTATTAGTTAAAAATTGAAATACACTAAAAGCATTGGTTTATCAAAATACTTAAGTACTTTTATAGATAGTTTGTAAAAGCAATATAAATGTTAAGTAAAAAAAATTGAAAGGTTTCACTACTATGGAATAGTTGAATGAAGCCAGCAAAATAAAACATAAATAATTTCATAATAAAGTATTAATTCATTATTCAATTAGAAAAAATAATATTATTCTAAGAATAAATAATTATTTGTATTTTTCTCGATACAAAAATACATAGTTATGCCCAACTAATAAAAAATTACTGAACAATTGAAAGATCCTAAAAATCCTAAAAAAGACTGACATTTTGAAAAATTAATTAATGAAAAACAAAAGGAGATAGAATGGAACAGTGTTCTGCATTCTGCTGTGGGATGAAAAATTTATTCTCATTATATTTTGAAATTAGAAATAAAGTAACAGATGACGCTGTTAAATGAAAAAAACTATAAAAAATGTGACTGAAAGAAAACCCATTTGCAGTAAAAATGTGGCACAGTTTGACGAAAAAACTAACTGAGAACTGTGCAAACATTTCAGCAGGAAGTGCCTGACATGCACTAAAAAAATTGTTTTATATTTATTCCAGTCAGCAACGCCATCTATTTACAAAGGCTGTGGCTAATTTTAAAATTAAATTTAATTAAACAGGAGGCAGAAAACTGTACTTTTTCTGTCTTCCTTTAATTATCTTTTAAACTGCTATTCAACCAACAAAACTATGTCATAATTTTTAGAACTTCAGCCAAAAGGAACATCAATAAATTATGTGACTAAACCAAGGGGTGTTAACAAAAGAGAGATTTTGCAAAGCATTACGTGTTTCTTGCTAATTCTACTTGAACTTTTCGGCGTATGAGTGGAAAATTTCCAAGAAATCACAGTGTCGCTAAGAAATAGAAAAAAAATTACAGTTAAGAAGACAAGCATTGCGCAAAATCTTTCTAATATCTGGGATCAGATAATTTGAGAAAATAATTATGAGAAGTTTAAGATACAATAGAAAAGGAAATATTGAAAAATATCATGCATTATAACAATAGAGAAGTTAAAATTTTCAAAAACGAAACCAAATGACTTTTATAAAATCACCAAAAATTAAAACATAATTCAAAAAGCCAAAACATAATTAAATAAAATTCTCACACTGCTTAAATATGGCAAATTCCCATGAAAAATAGTGTCTTTATACTGTAAAGCATTGAACTTGAGCAGGAAAATATTTCCATCACCAGCTCCTGTAATAATACAACTGCAAGAATTCAAAAAAAGAATATATTTTTTATTAGAATTTTTAACAGCTCACAACAGAACAGAATTAAAAGAATGTACAATTTTATACAATATACATTACAAAACAATACAATACAATTTACAATACAAAATTTTATTATAAGCTAAAGATTTAAAGTTTTAGATGATTTATTAAAAATACATATTTTTGTAATTTTAAAAATTTTTAGAAGTTTAAGAAAAGTCTGATAATTTTAATCAACAAAAATTTTGCAATGTAGTTTAATTGTATCATTATAAAGCAGAGTGATCTTATAAATAATTTAAAATAAGAATCCTACAAAAAAATACTATATCGATCAATACGCAATTACTTTATGTGACTGAAAAAATTTCAGCCACATGAAGTCACTGCCTATATAATAAAAAGTCACAACCACTTGAATTCTTTCAATAATTTTCTTGAAGAATTTAGCCTCATTTTTAATTTAAGACAATGCTATTATACTTTTCTAAGTTCATGGGTATTATTCATTTACTCAATGATTACATGCAAAATACTCATTAAGTAAAAATATATAAAATATTTCATTTAAGTAAATTAATACACCAAATTTTTATGCAAATATAATACTTTTAAGTACTATAATGTGAAAATCAACTTAAATTCCACTGTACTAGGAAAAAATTTACTTTCAACATGAACATGAAATTTATTTTCAAATAAATAAGAACGTTAAATGAATAATCCCATGAAACTGAATCAGTAATATATCACTTGTTTAAAAACTTTATTTGCTTCAAAAATATACAAATCGGAAATAACAGTAAACATATTTCCAGCACTCAAAAACAGGTGCTCATTCTCAAGACTTGCAAGGCATGATAAGAAGAAACACAAATTATTTGAAATATAACATGTAAAGTTGCTAACAAAAAAATGCAAAAATAGAAGTGAAAAACTAAAGAAGAAAAATAACACTAGCAGAGAGAGAGAAAATTTTTCAAAAACGAAACAAGAAATGCAAGCATTGAATTGCATTTTACCCTAATTTGCCCCTCTAGGCCACTGTGGTTTTTTTATTATGTTTTTCATCTTTTTTTCTCTTTTGGCTACTTGGTCTTCCTAGTTTTTTTCCCATCTTCATTTTTCCATTTTTCGCTGGCATATTTTATTGTCACATTTGCACTTAATGTGACAATTTTATTTCTAATTTTACCTAAGCCTTTAATTTTTTTTTAAACGTTATTCCTTTTTTCAATTTAGCAATTTTAACTTTCTTGGTGACCTTTCTCATGGTCAATGCGGTCATCGCACTTCCTGTGGGGAAAGTCAACCAACCCCTCTATTCACGCCTTTCTTTTTCTTCTTTTAATTTTAAGGGGGGCTAACTAACCAATCTCTTTTCTTTAAATTTCAAACTCTCCGCCTCTTTAATTTCAATTGGCCGTAATTTTTCTGGTCCTATACCAGTTAAGGAATTTTTAAGTCTTTTTTAATACATTCTCTTTTTCTGCAGCCTTTGGGCAGGTTACCCTTTTTTCTCGGAGATGCGGACCTCGGTCCGTATCGAGGGATTTCTTTTTACATTTTTTCTTAACCTTTATCTTAAATTAAATCCATATCTCTAATCAAATTCTGTAAATTTAAAATCAAAATTTTATACCTTTAATTTTCTTTAACATAAGAAAAACCTTCTCGAATTGAAGCTTTCTTTCCATATTTATTTTAACCTCTAAATTACTCGTTCTTTTATAATTAACATTTATCTATAACGCCTTCTGTGTTTTAATTCTCCCGTCACCCATTTCAATAAAATGCCTTTCTTGTGTTGGTAGATGTGGTGAAAGATGTATGTTCTAAATAAAATGATTTGTTAATAATTTAATCTTGTGCTGGAGAATTTATTTGCCTCTATTTTCATGATTTATCATGTCCTGTGTGTGCAGGGTGAGTACCTTTCAATTATTGTTATGGGCATGCATAAATGTGAATTTGTAATTTTTCATTGGAAACATCATCTTACTGTCTTAAATGTTAAGTCCCTATCTGGATATAGTATGTTATTTATCGTTTTTATCTTTAATCTTGAATTTATTTTAGATTCTCCCTTTTTCCAAATTTGGTGATACCAAATCATCCAATTTGTTCAAACCTCACACTTTGTGACCCTTTGAACCTATTGGGTTATTGTTATCCCACATTAGCATTGTACTACCACTTTCCTTAACGATCACATTCCCCTTAATTTAATTTAATTACTCTTTTATGTTTCGGCCTTTAATTTATTTATCATGACATTTCTATCATTTACCTATTTATTATCATGACTATAACCAGAGATACATCTAATTATGTAACCCATTTATCCATTTCTAACAACAATACATAAATAACTTTACTTTATTCACACCAATCTATAATCATTATTTAACTCTTACAATTTACATTTTATATTTCAAATCACTTTTGTTTCTTCTCATTCACATCTGGCAAGTCTTGAAAATGCCATATGTTTTTGAGCGCTTTAAAGATGTATACTGTTATTTCCAAATTGTATATTTTTGAAATAAATGAAGTTTTTAATGGAGTAAGCAAGACTGCTGTAAATGTATTGCAAAAATATCAGACAGCAAGATGACTAATGACTTTATAGTCAACAGGCTGGCATTTGTTAAATAAGCTGATAAGTAAGAAAACTACCAATTCACTATTCTATATCAAGATAGGCAGTTTACTTTTTTAGAATTGTTAAAATAAAATTACATATTTACCTTCCATCAGAAGAAATCTGTAAATATTCTGCCTGTCCCAGTTCAGCATCATGAAGTTGAAATTTCCCAAAATGATACCCTGATGAAGGTTCAAAAGCTTTTTCTAGATGGCAAATATTCAAAGATCCATTCTGCAATCCCATAAATATAAATTCTCCACAAGGACTATGAAAGGATCATAACAAATTAATAAGGATTATAACGAATTAATAATAACAAATTAAAAAAATAAAATTGCTTTATTTCAAAGTAAGTAAAAGTTAAATTAATTGATTGAATACTAATACAGATTAAGATAATGAATGGTTTAGTATAGCATAATTGAAATCCACATCAATGTTAAAAATTTTAAAACCATTCACCATTTTGATGAATAATTTCCTTATGATAGTTCCTTATGACATGAAATTTTAGTTGGAATTTTTACGAAGTTCATGAAATTTTAAAAACTGAAAGTAATGACTTATAAAGATTTAGAAATTGTAATTACGAAACTTACAAGAGAATCATATTAAATTTGATGATGTAGTTTATTTTAAAATAGTCATTTTTAATATAACATTTAATAAATCGTAAATAAATTAAAAATCTTGAACCGTGATAATAAAGTAGTTTGCGAATTAAATTATTTTTATAGACTACATTTGCTTAGTAAATAAAGTTATAAACTTAATTCATTTGTGCTACCCAGATATGTATACATCGACGAACATACAAACACTGCTCGAGAAAAATTTTTCATCCGCTAAAATTTTTTTTTTATGTTACTCATTGTAAACAAAAAATGATCAAAATTCCCTGTTTTACTCGACAGATAATATTTTTAAACATCACAAAAAATTTTTCATTATTACTCATTTAAAAAAAAAACAGTCAAAATTCTGCAATCTGAACCTGCAAGTCAATCTTGCAGAGACAGGTATAAATATTTTTTTCTCTGCTTTGCAATGCGGTACTCTTTCCATGATTACATCACTGAATTTGACTTTCAGGCATGCTGGTATTTATAATGATTAATATAGAGTTTGTTTTATAAATATTAAGATATTTCTTAAAAAATTGGTGATTTTGAAACAAATTTCACCAAAATAAAGGGCGATGAAAGGATAGAAACTAGTATCAAGATTTAATTAATGTAGTGATATTTAAGAGTTAATTATAATTGCTTGCAAAAAATTTTATAATTTAAATTTCGGGTTTTCAGCAAGTTTTTTTTATTTTATCTAAGCCTAGCGTTACCTATACTGAAGAGAAAGCACACTACTCCATTCAGATGTCAAGATTTCCAAAGCTCTAACTGGTGTTAACTCTACTGGACATTGCTGAAATTCCTGGCATAAGGCAAATTCAAAAAGATACCTGAAGTCAAATTTACCCTGCAATCAAAAGGTATTACGATTTAATTTATGCATTTCAAATAATACCAAAACAAAAAATGTTTAAAAATAAGTAATTTACTACTTGGTTTTGTAATACATTAAGTTTTTAAGCCATATACACAATTATATACTTAAAAGTAAAAACATTAAAAATAAAATAAGCAACAACAGAGAAATAACAAGTACATATTTAAAAATCTAACACTTACTAATGATTATAAATATTCATTTACAAGTAAAAAGGAGATTACATGAAAACTTAAACAGCAAACTTAGTATTACCTCTACCATTGCAACCAAAGTTAGGTTTAGTGACATAGTTCGAAATTCTGAAAAAATTTGATCAGCAATTTTCATTCATTTTAAAACATCAATTTTAACAATTGTAGAAATTCACTTGAAATTAGAAAACAAGTTACTTAATGAAAATATCAAAGGTTTTGTATAATTTACAACATAACAGAAATTATAATTTTGTCACAAAATTACTAAATTTGTAAAAGAATCAAGTGAAGTTTTATGTAAAATGTCTAATTTAAAGGAAGTTAAAATCAGACCAGATTAGGCAAAAATGTCCTCAGAATTATTAGAACTATTAAGAGCAGTTTGGTTCAGGATTATAACGTATTCAGGTTAACTTGTCACAAAATTAAATTTGTGCAGAAGTGCGAATTTTTGATCAAAAAACTAACTAAGATGTATTGGGACAGTTTAAAGAAATTAGAATAGTGATTATAAGAGAAGATAAAACATACAAAAGCAAGCCAAATATGTCCTGAATTAACAGAAGAAAGACATGCAAGGATTTTTGGTGGAATCATGCGTTCAGAAGACTTTCCAAGGCACTCCTCCCAATAACTTTCTCTTCTTGCTGTAAAAACAAAAATACTTATTGAATCTCAAGAATAAAGTAGAAGTGTTTTAAAAGATTAAAATCTAATAGTTGAACAGTTGTTATATTTTAAAAATAGTTTTACTGTATTCTAAAGCAGGGTGTAAAATTTCTGACTGGTGAATAAGACAGCTTTTCTTTTCAATTTAATACAAAAAAATGCTGAGTTACGCACTTTCTAATTATGAAACTATTACATTTGGAAACTTTTGGAAATACTAAAACCGTAAGACAAATTAATTTTGATTTCATGTAATTATTATTGCTATAAATATGCTTCAATTTTTAGGTTTCTACATTATCATTACTACATTATCATTCAACATAAAAGCTTTTATATAATATATATGCTAACATTTTGAAAATTGTTCAGATTTTTCATGAATTCAAAATAGTAGGGATATACAATTTTAATTCAAGACAGTATCATTTATACTGAAATTTTATGTCCTGTTGTTCAGTCAAACTTTGATTTTTCAAATTTGAAGAGAGAAAAAATAATTAAAATGCTGAAAATTCAAATTATCAAAAATTGCATAGTACCAACAATGGGATGAGAAGAAAAAAATTTATATATATTTCTTCAAAGTGTGATACCTTTTTATTAAAATAAATATTCTGCCCAAAAACATTTATCACAACAAAAGAGATAAGGAGCTTGAGCATCTTTTATAAATTCCCAATTGTTGATGCTAGGATTCTGAAATTCAGAAAGTGGTTTCAATTCAAATTTTTAACTCCAGATCCTAAAAATTGTTTCAAGTTAAGCAATAAGCATTACTGTAAATTATACAGCAGACGATTCCGATTTTTCAATTATTTAAAGGAGGCATTTTTTCATAAAATATATTATTATTCTAATTTTAAGTAAGTACATTTTATTAATATGTAGAATGTAATGAAATGAGAGGGTATCTAGTTTTGAAAAAAATTATATTTAAGACTATAGAACATGTGGCACAATAAATAAATAAGTAATAAATAAGAAATATTTTTATGTGTTATCAATATGTAACTAAAACCTAACATCACATAACAGTTCACAATGAAACAGTTTTCATTTACTTTCAAATTTCAATACATTAAAATTAATATCTGGCAACATCTAATCATTCTCTTCCTATTATTATCATTTTTTTTTTAAATTTTAGTTTGTTACTTTTAACATAAAGTCAAGCGTGAATTTTTAAAATGAAAAACACAAGAAAAAAATTTTTCTAAAACAAATAGTAAATAATTATTATTTAAAGAAAATATAAGTTGCAAAAAAATCCCTTAAAATTGCACTAACTTTCGAACAAACTGGAATTAAAAATTTCAAAATGCACCATTCAAAACTCGTGATTCAAACTGCACGTCAAATTACAACTCTGCAGTTAATTTCAGCAGGCAGTAGATCAGCCTACATGATATTTTTTACTACAAATTTAACCATCGATAATTCACAAATGTATAGATTTTAATTCTCAAATGTATAAATGCTATAAATCAAATCTCAATTATTTTTATTCCATTGAGTTTCTGGTACATTTGTCTGCACATTGCGGTATTTCAAGCTCCTAAGTCTTTCCGTTTTTGCACGGAAAAATGAAAAAGCACTTAGAATTCCAAAAACTTTCAACAAAATTAGAATTTTGAAAAAAAATTCTGTGTTGACAAATACATATGCCCCTTTCAGCATGCCCAATTTTGTAAGTTTTGGAGGTCATACCTTTCTTCTCATCATACTTCAGATTTCTTAACACTTCTTTACCTTCTTCTGTCATTTCTTCACAATCACTAACTACAACTCTGTCTCCTAACTAGAATAGAATAGTTATTAAAGATAGGTTGCGATTAAATTTAAGCTTAAATTTACAAAAAGTTGTATTCATTTGAAGATTTCACAGATTTTTTTTTTAAAGGATTTTGAGAATTTTGGTCAGAGAGATTAAACATCTTAATTTGATAAGTCTGTAATACAATATGAAAAACATACGTTAAGAAAAATTAATATGAAGTGCTTCATAGCACTGTTTTTTATCTTGGACATCCTGCATTTTTATGGTGACGACAATGTTTCTACAAGTTCATGAGCATAAAATACTAATCTTTTATTGATTGTTTTAAGAGTATTTCAATTCTTTAAATTTTGTTATTATTATCTAATCTAAGTTAAAACAAAAACTTATTCACTATTCTTAGAAAATTTAAACTTACAAAAGTAAGCCCAGAATTCTTTAAAGTAATTTAACTGTGCAATAAATTACGTCGATTGTCACGAAAAAATATGTATAACATATTTCTATGATACTTATAAAAAACATAAGTTAAACTAATTTTTGTAAGACATTTACTAAATCAGTACTAAGAAAAATCAATATTATATTTTCTATGAAGAAATATATTATTCATATAATCTTCTTAATATACAGTTAATTTTACACTACAGTTAATAGCATTTTCTATCAGTTGTTGTACACTATGCCGAATTTACAAAATGAATCTGCAGCACTATCTTCGCAAATCTAAATACGTCAGCCACCTAAATGCAATCATATAAAGCTTATTGTACAAATTTAGTTTAATTTACAAATGTAGAAAACCTTTAAATTGTTTGGTTAATAAAAGTTACACATAAAAACCTTATGTTGTTTAAATTTAAGATGAATTTTACATAATGATACTAAAAAAAATTAATAAATACAGTTAAGCCTGTAATAATTAACAAAGAAAAAAAAACTTTACTTTTTGTTCTTTGTGGTGCTCTCTCAAATCAACTTTTTAATTTTAATTAGAAACAAGTTAAGAGTTGCGTTTTAAAAAGGAAAAGTCAGCAAATTGCTCAATTTGTTTTTTAAAAAAAAACTTAGATGAAAAATAATCTGTAGCACATGCGGCAGTGCAAGAGAGTTTCTGATACCAGGTAAAGTATTTAAAACAAGTTAAAATTTAATGATAAATAAGTAGTGACATTTTAAAATAAAACTTAAAATATGTTTGAAATAAAAATTACCTCATGATAATCTATTAGAGAGTCAATTATATAAATTTGACAGTTGTTGTTTTCAATATAAAATGTTTCTTGGACATTATCGGCATCATTCAAAGGAGTTTTCGCTGGTATATCAACTTCCAGCATGTAACTGTATTTGCAAATGATGAGAAGTCTATGAAGTGGCTAAAAAAAAGTTATGTTTTCAAATTGTTGATCATTTTACCTGCATATAACAAAACAAACATGTTTCATAAACATTACATATGTAGCTCTTAAATTCTCTGTTTTAAGGAAAATATATTGTTGTTAGATATAGGGCAAAATTAAAGGTTAACACCTGCCGAAATATCCCAAAGGCGACTAAAAAAATTTCCTGCCAGTTGCCATTTTTTCTTATTGAAAATACATCCTATGTTCATTTTTTTAATAAATAACATTCTAAGAACTATTTTAATTTCACGCTAGTTTCTTAAGTTTTTTCTAAATTGTTTCTAAAAATTTGCAAAATAGAATTATGAAAAATCGTACTACAAGAAGAAATTTTTAAGGAAATAAGCTAGATGAGTTAAATTCAGATTAAGAAGTGGATTTCATACATACCTCAGAATAACTGTCAGAGCTGTTGTATACAACCCACTCTAATTGATCAACTTCATGCCGGTTAATGTAGAAACCTATAGGCGTAAAACCATTCTTAGTAAGATATAAGAAGAATAATTTGGAATCCAAACCCTAAAAGTGTAGAGAAACGAAAGTCTGGTTAAAAATATTTCGAAAATAATGAATATTTTACTCTTTTTTTATTATTATTATTCTTGCATTTGGAAATTGCACATTCTAAACAGCTTTTGACTTAACAATCTATTTTCCCACAATAATTACTAGTATGTGGTTTATTAAAGCTTTTAATTCCAATTATAAAACACAAAAACACAATTTTTTCCAAGATATTTAAAAGGATTTTAGCTCAATACCTTCAATAAGTATAGAAACAGACTCATTTTGTTGACTACTGCATAAACTTAGAAACCGTTGTGAAGTGAAACACTATAATAATATTTTTATAATAAATTATATGTGAATAGTATTTTAGAATTTCCAAATAACAAATTATCTATTTTACATTTTTCCTTTGAAAAATGAAGATAGGACAAATTTTTCTACCCATATTCTTTCTTGTTCAACACATGTAAGCAAACAGATAAAATATTTTACTCTATAAAAAAATATAAATTATAAGATCAAATTAATGCAATTCTAAGCAATTACTTTGTCATTCTCACCAATTTTCCAATTACTTCATTTACTTTAATGAAATTTTTAGCACTTTTAGAAAAATCACTATGAATAATATGTTTAAACAAGGTTTCACCCCATGCTCGCTTCTTTTTACACAATTCATTCCACACCACAATTGCTCCACATTCTTTTTTGTTTCTTATCTATACACAGCTCAAAATTAAATCATTAAGAATCGAAATTAATGCAGGCTAGACATCAAAATTTAAAACTGTTTTATTTTTTTTAAAAAAATTTTGTTATAACACAGGCATAGTTCTTGAAATTTAGTTTTTGATTCCATTAGGATAAACAAATAATTTTACTGAGTTATCATCACAATTTCATACATGAATGTAGTTTTGAAAATCTTATTTAATTTTGAGTTATTAAAAGAATTTATTAATTTATTAAATTCTTAATATTGCTTTAGAATTTTATAACAAAAAACAAATGCATTATAATAAAAAGTAGCAATAACCTATTAAAAAATAATAGTAGCTTATTTAGAATGTAATCATTGCAAAACAGTAACTATACATCTTTATCACAAAATGTTGGAAAATAATGCAATATCACGCAATTACTGTATAATATTATAAAAAACAACACTTTTAGTTCTAAGCCTTTAATTTTGAATAATAAATAAAATCAAAGTTACAATAATTACAGAGAACAATATTAAGAAGGAATGCTAAATAAATATTACAGAGAAGTAAGGATTAATAATAGACAAATAAATCATTTAAAGATAAATACCATCATAAACTTACTTAATTTTATATTGATGACAGCTATAGCCGAAGATATCTAGTCCTTTTTTCATTAATGATATTTATGCAATTTTTCTGTCCAGTGAAAACGCACATAACAATAAGACGATTATTATTTGTTTAAGACACAAATACAGAAATCATTCTCTTGAGATCAAACTCTAACTGATTATACTGATGAATAAAATACATTTAATCACTAAAATATTTTTCTCCTAAAAAAAGGAAGCATTCTCACCATCATCATTTTTAAGGAGAACTTTGCCTTATTTACAAGAATGTGATACAGTAAATTATTAATATAAACATCAAGAAATCGTACATCTCTGAACAACTGACACGGAATTTTCGTCACAAAAATCTAATAATTCAATTTAAAAAAAGTGCAAAACAAAAAAAAATAAAACAAACTAGCTAAGATGCTTAATACTTAGACGATTAAATCATTGCCATTCTCCATTTTTCAATCTATAAATTAGTTTAAACTTAAGAGCTTAGACTTCATATCTACACAAAAATTCTTTCATTGCTTTTGTCTATATGTAGATTGTGTTGTTATTGTTTCTAATGCCACTTGCCACACGGGCAAGCTTGCTTGGTGAAACCGAGCAAATTTAAGGCAGAGTGTGCGTTTCTCGTTTTTCAGTGGCGCCATCTAAGGCGAAGAATTCGACTTCTGCCACACCATACATCACACCCGTTTATAGGGCGGACCCATTCATACATCCATTCATTCATCCATAGATCGTAATTTTGACCTGAATCAGAGAACGATCGATCTCCAATCCAGTACCCCCAGAGGTATTGATTTGTTATGGGAACATAGAGCACTTTTACGACTCAACAGATTTAACATGCATCAGTCACTTTACTGCACGGGGAGTCTTCGGCCGGCGGGATTTGAACCCACGAACTCTCAGACATGGGCCCAGCGCCCTACCGACCAGGCTATCACAGCCTTAAGATTGTAAATCTGTAGATTTCCTACTACATAGATTTCCTGTACTAGATAGATCTACAGAGTGGCAAATAGAATTAAATTGCTTACCTGAGAGACAAGTATGGAATGTGTGCTGTTATAACTGAGAGACTTAATTGCATCTGAATGAGGTTTTGAAATGGCTTTCGCTTCTAATCTTTTGCTTTCAGAACCAACAATGGTGAGCCAACGTATTGTACCATCTTCAAATCCAAGGATGAGTGATGCTCCAATGTCATCCAACTATACACAATAAAACAGTCAATTAATAAATACATTGTCGTATCTACAAACAATTGTCAATTTGTAAATACATTGTTAATTAAGAGAAAAGTTAAACTTTGCAGACTGTCATTAAAAAATTTTAAAAAAATTATTTATAATACACAAATTTTGTTTTATTATATTATCACAAGATCTGACTTTAATTCTTGCCCTCTGTATTTATAATTATTTTGACTAATGACTACCATGACTGCTAAACATATTTATACTTTATCAATTCCTTTCCAACCCACTTTTTCATTACATTAGTGTATACAATTATTCACACATTATAATGTATGTTGTAATTATATATCAGTGTGCAAAACAAAAAAACAAACTTAATAACTCTTAATCCAATGATTGAATTTTCACACACCAAGACTCTTGATCAAGGGCCTAGCTCCAAACATGCTAATTACTTAGTACAGACAATATTTTAAATAACGAAATTATAATAAAAAATATACTTTATCTGAATAAATATACTTTTTATCAACGAATTTGAATGCTTGGCACCCCTGTGGCAGAATCATGGCGACGCGGCCACATTGTCGTAGAACGTTACTGAATTCTTGTAGAAAGATTTTTCCTTTGGGAAGTAAAAAACTTTGGGGGTTTTTTTTTTTGTTGCAGAAATATTTGAAAGATTTTTTTCTTTACTTCAGAATTATATTCAAAAGTTTCTTTTCTCGCTCATCAGAGAGGGAAAAAAATGCTTGTGATGCTAAAATAATATATGACAAAATACTAACTTTGAGAAAATTTGGTCAAATGGTTCTCAAGAAATCATATTTTAAATGTATGACTCTTTTAAAATTTGATAAAGCAGTCACTACTCTCCACTGACTGTGCTCAAATTTTGTATTTGATTATATGAAACTATAATCTTTAAAATCATGCAAAAACTTTTATACCTTAGAATTCAAAATTTTTTCTTCCATTATTAAACAAAATATCAAAGAAAATTATTTATTGGGTGAAATTAAATTTTTTAGAAAGAAACTTTATAATTATGAGCATTATTAGTAAACATTTTAAGCATTAGTTAGCATTCAAACATTTAAGCATTAGTAAAACATTTTATCATTATTATTAGATATCTTCCTTTGAATAAAAATAAATATTGAGTTTTGAATAAAATCAATAGTTTTGAATAAAACCAAACTATAAAAAAAATTGAAATTAAAAACAAATCTAATATAGTTGTAGTTTAATTACGTCGCACTAGAGCTGCAGAATGGGATATTAATGAGGACCAATACCACACAGCCTTGGTTCCTTCGTAGACTAATTACCCAGCCTCACACTGACATGCTTGACTTTGGTGTTCCACTGTTAACCATGTTTTAAACTATTAGTCCACAGCAGAACTAAAATAGTAAAATAGTGCGGGACTAATAATAACTCTAATATATAAAACTCAAAATAAGATAGAAGAATTTTCAATATATCAAATTATATTAAATTTTTCATAGAAGCAAATTTAATTTTTTATTACAGCAGTTCTCTTTAAGGAGACAATGATATATTTCATTTAAATTTTAGAAAATAACAGATAAGGAAACTTAAAATCTCTATTGACTTACGAAAACTGTCACAATATAGTTAACAAAAGTTTATATCCATGAATCACAAAAACATCAGTACCTTTTTATCAGGCCATATTATTTGAGTACATGAACTATTAAAATGATCAGTCAACAGTATATCATTTTTGGTACACTCAAAGATTACTATATCACCTACATAAATTAAAAAATGATAGTGAATCATTTATATTTAAATAACAAATTAAAGATTTTTAAATAATTAAAGATAATTTCAGTACACTTAAAAACTAAAAATATTAGTTTTCTCTTCATAATAAGAATTTTAAATAAATGGGACTATCGGTAACATTAATAGCAGCTATAGTTGAATGATTATGTCATGTAATACAAGTTTAAAATAATATACAAGACACTTAGCTTTAAGACCATATGATTCTATTTCATTATTGAATCATTTGAAAATTCATATTCCTTTCTGATTGGCAGAGTAAAGTTCAAGTCAAAATATCTAAAAATTATTAAAAGCTAATAATATGCATAGCTGTCTTAAAAAACGGAATTTGGAAAAGAACTGTCCATAATTACATAAATTAATGACAGTAATTAGAAAAGAACATATAAAAATTTAAAACCTGAACTAACTTTGATACTTTGGAAGTTCTTAATAAATATGCTATAATATTATTTAAAAAAAATAAGAGCTGAATTTCAATGAGATTGAATTACAGTAAAAGTAAATTGTAAAAAAAACTTTGAGACTTGTTTGTTTAAAATGCAATCAAAATTCAAGTTTACCCAATTTTTACCATTAATAAATATGGCATTAAATCTTTTTTTTTCTTTTTGCCCTTTATGTTTTTTTATTCAGATAAGATGCAAAGATGTAATTTTGTATTGCGGCTTCTTACGAAATAAAATTCACATGAAAACATTTAAATCGATTCAACAGATAGATATATAAATAAATTGGATGTTTTCAAAATCTATTACAATATGACAATATTTAAATAAACATCAACTTCAAAAAATATTCCTCATTAAAAGGACATATCCAATAAATGTTTTTAACTTGCATTTTCTACAAACAAATATACCTAATTCTGAAGTAGCAGCTAACAGAGGGTATACTGGACACATGGCCATGCCACTTAAATTTAGCCCAAAGCCATAAATTAACAGTGATGGTGATATTTCTGATAAATCATCAGGAACATTCAACTTCCAAAGCTTGCCACAAAGATCCTGCATGGAAAAAAAATTATATTACTTTAAAAATTATTTTAAAATATAAATAAAAGTAGAAAGAAAGAACCAAATTAAATAAAAAAAAAAACAAAGTATTACAGCATCAATAGAGAATACATTAAAGCTGATTATTGAATTCGCTATGCTAATAAGCTATATCAAGGCATGTCAAATACATATTAGTTAAAATAAGTTCACAAAGATACCAAAATGTAACTGAAGTTTTTAAGTACCTTCAATAAGCTTAAAACATTCACAAATGAAGAGCTTAATGGAAAAAAGTTCTAAATTATATGTTTGGAAACATTGAGATTATTTGGGTATATATTTTATTATAGTCTTATTAAATTGTACAACATTAATTAAATTTGACATATTTTTAATGTCACAAATCTCAACAATAAAGCCATAAAATGACAATCAAATGGTTTTGAAGTGAAAGATGGTACCAATTGCAATTAGCAATAAAAAGTTGACCCCAATCACCAAGTCTTTTTTTTTTTTTTAATATTAAATTAACCAAGAGTATGAACACTAAGACAAGAGCAGATTAAATTCATATTCGGAGTTTATAAATTTAAAAAAAAAATTAAGAAATATTCTCATTAACTTTCAAATCGAACTGTAGTAAAAAAATAATGATTACCTGCATTATACAGATTTGGAGGATGGGGTGGACTTTGAAAATTTTAGTTCATCACTTTCCCAAAATGTTAGGACTTTTTTAGAATGTTGATTTAAAGAATTCATTTATTATTTAAATATTATAAATTTTAATAAAACTAAACTCATTTTAATTCAATCAACATCCTTAGACATGAAAACACAAAATTAATTTTGATTACTATACCTAGCAGCATTAAGCAAATCAATACAATATTTAAGGAAAAAGCATTTGCTTATATTTTATCAAAACGTAAAAATTTAAAATTCGTCTGTATTTGTTAAGTGTTTTAGAATAAGATTTATTACCTTTTTCAGGGTATTTTTTTTAATAAAGATAAAGTTTTAAAAAAAAAAACATCTCTTTTACAATAGAAATAAAAGCTAATATGAATGAGGTGCAGTACATTTTAATTTATCTTACTTTTTATCTCTGTGAATTTTTTATTGACTGATTGCATTGCAAAATTGTCTGCTGATATAAATTATATTTTGTATTTGTTATATAATATTTTATATTATATTTCATATTTATTACACACTTAATTCATTAATATTATCAAAATCACTTAAATTATAAATTAATTTTATCATTAGATGGTCTGAATTGCGAAGGAAATTACTAAATTTTAAGAAAACTATAAAAACTCAAAGTTAAAGCATGTAGAAAAATGTATTAAATAATTTCTTAAATAAATGTTATTTTATAATCATAACCTTTTTTTCAGAGTTTTACAGTTGTAACATAATTAAACGCAATAATACTATATCAATCCAAGCATACCTGAATTAAAATGTATGTTGTAGCATCTTTAGAAACAAGAACAGCATGCATTAGATTTGATTTTTCAGAAAGGGAAATACTTTTTACTGGATTTAATGATAAATAGTTTAATGGCTTGTGAATGAGCTCTTTTTCAGACTCAGTACTGACAGTATCTGATTTGCTTGAACTGTCAGAACCTTCTGAAGATGATGACTCCTCTGAATCTTCCTCACTCTCTCCAACTTTAAAAAAGTCACTATACTTCCAAAACTAGATTAAATAAAATACATTTACTTTTTGTTTACAAAATACTATAATAATCTTCACATATAGTATTTTTTTCACTAGTTAATTATGAATTTAATTGATTTCTTAACACACCTAAAAAATAACATATTCTACAGCACTTAATATCCTTATTTACATTAAATGTATACACCTACATTACCAACAGCCTTTTTTATGAATGATTTGAAAATTGCATCACAATTTGACAATAGTTTTTTAAAGGTCCTCTTCAAAATTAAGCAGGAACTCTTCCATGTTAGGATAGAACAATTATATAAACCTGATTTCTTCATATTTAAAAAAAACTTTATTATTTTATTTATTGAAATGTGTTAAATAAAACTTAGTAATTAAATGCTTGATTTTATGATTGTAAGTATTAAAAATATTTTCAACAATTAGGTTTCAAACTTTAAAGTTCTTCAAAGTTGCAAGTTTTAAATATATATAGAACCTTAAGACTTAAAATTTGGTAAGTAGGCTAAATAAAACACATCCCGATGAATAGAATGAAACAAAAAATATTCAAAAATACTATTTAGTTCCTTAATAAATGAAGAAATCAGTTTCATGTAATGGCCTATAATTTAACATAGAGGAGGTAGAATACATTTTCTGTTCAAAGAAGATCTTTTATCTTTTAAATATTATCAACCGCATCATTCATGAAAAGTTTAGAATGTAATATAATTTTTTATGTTTACTCAAAAGTATTGTTTCAGAAGCATAAAAAACACACTAGAAAAAAAAGTGTTTAGATACTTAATTAATTTGTATAGTTTCAACAGAGATTTCAATAAATACAAGAATACTATTTTTTTTATGATTTTAGATTTCAATAGTTTCCTGACATATTACATAGCATCTTTACAGTTTACTGTTTTTTTCCTTCATAAAACAAAGTTTTAGACATGATTTAATTTGTAGTTTTTCACTTGATTTCAGGACACATACTCACCTTAACGAAACCATCAGATCCAAAAGTAATTATGAGATCCTGATGGTTAATAATACTGTTAATTCTTCCATTATGGCATGGCAAAGAGTTTTTCATTCCAATAGTTTTGCAGTTTGTAACATCCTCAGTATCTACATTACCGTGGAAAAAATAGAGATATCCATCTTCCACACCAGATACAAACTACAAAATAAAATAAAATACCAAAATCTTAACAAAAGAAAGGTAATTCATATTCATGAAGAAAAGCATTGATTCATCAAATCAAAATAAATAGAATGCATTTAAAAAACATTTCTAATTCAACATGAGGCAGTAATGCATACATTAGATTATAATATTGCACAAAAATTTATTTGATAATAAATACAAATCTAAAACAATGGTCATAAAAGTTTATAATTATTATACATATATTTATATCTTTATGATGCAAGTTAGAGAAAAATTTTAAAAATAAGTTTTGATAAAAATACGAGCTGTATGCTATGTTTTTATTGAGAAGTTAACACAATTTTCGCATTTAAAATTATAATAACTTTAAAAAAATTTATAAATACATTTCATATTTTAACAACTTTTAAATTATAAAATAAAATGATTAAAAATTAGTTATAATTAATAAATAAAATGATTTTTAAATTATAAAATGAATTTTAAATTATAAAATGATGTTGACAATTTTCTATTTGCATTTGCTTTAAAATATTTTTTATTTCTTTTATTTGTAAGTACACAGTAAAAAATTAATTTTCTAATGATTTTACCAGAATTTCAAATATCATTTGATATAAATGTATACTATAAAATAAACATTATAAATTTTGAAAATTGTCTTGAGTATAAAACTTTTCTTTCTGTTAAAATAAAATATCCATTGTTAGAACTATCCTTATAAGTTTAAGATGTAACTGCTAAAAACAAAAATGTAGAAAGAGGTGATTCAACAAAAATGTGGTTTGCAATTAACACATTATTTCTACATAATGTGTCATTCCTACCAAAAAACATTAATAAGCAAATTTTCATCTTTTGAGTTTATCATTCAGTGGCATCCTATTACTGCTTAAAGTTGTTCTTTGTAGTGAATTCAGTAAGAAACAAAACTAAGAACCAACCACAAAAATTGAAATAACTTGCTCAGAGCCTTAAAAAAAGTTTAAGAATTTTAAAAGTACCAAAATTTAAAAGTACAAATTTAAAAGCGCAAAAATATCTACTACTATAACATTTTAAGCACCGAAACATAGTTATAAAATATATTTTTGATGTATATATTGCTTAAGTTGTCACATGAGAGGCTAAAACAAGGAATCATGTCTTTGCCATTAAATCTTAACAGTCTGCAATTTTTTTTTTAAATGAAGTCATTAATTGTAAGTAAAAACATTTATATTTCTGTTTAGCAGATTATATTTATAACTAAAAAATTTATGGGCAAGATATTAACTCACCTATGATATTTTTAAGATTAATGACAGTAAAAGTTGGGATTTAAACAATTTAAAATATCTTTATTTTCACTACATAGTAAGTTTCAACTAAAAGACAAAAATTGACTCTCTACACAAGTAAACAAAGATGGTTAAAGAAAATCTCCTCAGTTTTCTTGATGTTACTGTTATTGTATTTAATGTATTCATTATTAAAAAATATGAAAATTTTGAGAAAATTTAATATTAATAACAACTATCAAATGTTTGTAGTCCATATATTTAAAAGAAACATTAACATTACCATGAGGAAAACAATTAAATTTAAATCTTTCTCACAACAACAACTATTAAAAAAGCTAACTATTAAGCTGAAAAACTAAACATAATTGAATATTTCAAGTAAAAGGTACAAAAACCATAGTTTTAGAAAAAATTGTTCATAAAATGTAGTTTATCATAGGTGATTTTTTTTAAAAAAAATAAGTTATGTTTACATTGTTCTCTGGCAGTGAAACGGTGCAATAAATTATTTGTTCCTTATTAGAACTTGTAAACTCAAAAGCTTGATTAAGTTGCAATTCAATAATATCGTCACGTTCATCTCTTACACAAGAGAAAGACCATAACCTGCAAAAATTGACAACATAAGAAAAGAAAATTTTAAATATATGACGTAAAAGAAACATTTTAAAATTATGCTACAATGTCAATCTACAAAAAGTTTGATCCCACAATGAGATTATCCTTGTCTTTTTATTTGCAAAAAATAGATTTTCATGAAGCATTTTTTTTTCAATGCCTTCCAAGGGAATAACTTACATCATACTGTCATCTGAAGGACAGATTTGTTGGCCACTTATCCAAGGGCACCATATTAGGTGCGCCAACGTTGCTCCCCCACTAAGGACAGATAGTACAGAGAATGTCCATGCCTTGCCCGGGTTTTGAACCCAGAACCTTTCAGATGCATGGCAAGTTCCCTGACCCCTACACAAGCTGGTCGGTTCTTTATGAAACATAAAATGTTATATTCAATGGGAGCTAATAGCTAATTGTTATTTCAGAACAATGAAGGAAAATTAAAATGATATTGAAAAATAATGATGAAGAAACAGGGATGCCAACCAGTAAAACATTTTCTCCACATTGATACAGTTACTTTTCCATAGTTTTGCAAAGTTATGGAGATCATTTTTTGAACTGTTTTTGGCATCAATATTAAAATACAAATGCCAAATTAAACATTTCCCTCACACTCTATAAGTTACCTCTTTTCAAACACTGAAATCAATATTTTTGATAATTTTATTTTTTAGCCTTACAAGAAAAGAAATAGTTGTGTGCAAAAAATTTTCAAACGAACGTTAGCTTTTTTTTTATTTAACTTATAGTAAAAATAACTATTTATTTAACTCACTCTAATCTATATAATAGATAGACATCTCCTCCCTTTGACTTTTCTTCGGTTCTCCCAATTATAAAGACTTTAATACTGCAAGTACTTTAACTAACAAAATGTAGTTTTATTTCTATTTTTTCTTTCCTTTTTGTATATTTTCAAGCTTAATTGCGGAGAAATTTAATACAGTCAAACCCCGTTACAGTGAACCTTCAAAGGGACCGAAATATCTGTTCACTATAACCGGGAGTTCACTATATCCCTACTGCAAACAATTTTAACTAATTTTTCCAAACTGCTCCCTTTCATTACACANTAGTTTTATTTCTATTTTTTCCCCTTTTTGTATATTTTCAAGCTTAATTGCGGAAAAATTTAATACAGTCAAACCCCGCTATAGTGAACCTTCAAAGGGACCGAAATATCTGTTCGCTATAACCGGGAGTTCACTATATCCGCACTGCAAACAATTTTAACTAATTTTTCCAAACTGCTCCCTTTTATTACACATTATTTAAATAAATGACCAATAAAAAGAAATACAAAAATGAATAAAAAACAATATGTTGTAACAAAAAATGTGCTAATTTTTAATTTTTATTACTCTTCGTCTTGCGTACAAAAAATTTAGGGATGACTTTTATTTAGAGATGGGAAACTGAAATAGAAAAAACAAACAAGAAAAAAAGCTTATGGCTACATTACACTTAATAGATGGTTTTGAAAACCGGTATATGTATTTTACGTAGAAATTTCAAAATTACCAAAACATTAAGAAGAAAAATCAGTCGAAGACAGAAAAAAGCTAAAAATATATCCAACTTCCTCTCCTCTTTTGGTTCATTATATCCACAAAAAATAATATTCGTGTATAGCAAGGTACAGGAGCGAACATTTCGTTCACTATATCTGGGAGTTCACTATAAACCATGTTCACTATAGCGGGGTTTGACTGTATTTACAACCTCAGCAGCTAAGAGCACTTTTGCTAGGGAACAAACTGTGGAATGCATTAAAAAACTAGTCTATAGAGAAATTTTTAAATAGCAAAATAATACTTCCACTCAGACTATTTTGTATTTGTAAAAATTAAAAACAACCCTGTTCCTTCAATATTAACATTCAAAAAATGAGTGTGAATCTTGAGGCTTTGTAAGTAGCTTTACAAAATCTTGTTCCTGCCAGCAGAGGAGTACAGCTTAGAATGAATGTTGGTTGTAATATAATTAATTACACTAAGATTAATTACATTTTACAAGGTAATTAAAAATTTTGCTAAATTTAATCACCAAACAAAACAATAAGTTTGGTAATAATTAATCAATTTAAAGATAATCCCTCCTCACAAAAAAACAAGTGTTTATCTCGTAATTTCAAAATCAGCCACAGCCGGAATTCGAACTTGGGGCACCTCATTGGGAGGCAAATGTTCTATCCCCTGAGTCACTATGACTCCAAGCCATTTGATTTGCAGCTTTAAAAAAATATTTAACATAACTGAAAGTAATTTGTTCCATGAAAAGTAAAGCAAGTATAATGAATTTCTAACTGCAGGGCCAGTTGAAAGTAAATAATTTGGTGGGGGATTTTTTTTCCCAGAAAATCACTATACACGATGCTTAAAGGACGAAATATCAACCCTTAAGAAGAGGCATTAAGAAGAATCTCATTTCAAAACATATATATTTTTTTATTTAGTTTCTAAATCTAACATATATTGGTTGGCTTAAATTGTTCACAAGCTTAATAAATCACTTTTTATTTAATCTCTAAAGCAGAATTATAAGACATTAATTACAATAAACATTAATTTGGCATTTATTTTAACAAGGAAACAAAGAAGTAGAATAACATACTTTATAAGTCCTTTCCCAGAAGTGAAGAAAATACTAGAATCAGCAGTTGAAAAATGCAAATTGTAAATTCTTAATTCATTTACAGGTGTGTCATATATCAAATATTCTTGTTCCCAAAGCCATATAAAAATCTTATTTTCTGGATCTTCACTTATTGATATTAAGATTTCACCATCAGGACTAGGAAGGATAAAAAAGAAATTTATAATTTTTTACAAACAAAAAATAAAAGATTTTTTTTAATCACACATTGTTTGAAAGAATTAACACTAGTAACAACAATCAGCTTCTTATTAGCTAACCAACATACAAAGCTAGATCATGAACATGAATTAAAACTTTTTTTTAAACAAAATATCCATTAATAAGAAATTTTTAATTTTAGACATGATGAATATGCATTAACACTAGTAACAACAAACAGATTCTCATTAGCCACAAATATACAAAGCTAGATCATGAACTTGAATTAAAACTTTTTTTTATATAAAACATACATCAATTAGAAATTTTTAATTTTAGACATGAGGAATATGCATTAACACTAGTAATAACAATCAGATTCTCATTAGCTACAAACATACAAAGCTAGATCCTAAACTTGAATTAAAACTTTTTTTTATATAAAACATCTATTAATTAGAAATTCTTAATTTTAGACATGATGAATATGCATTAACACTAGTAACAACAATCAGATTCTCACTAGCTACAAACATACAAAGCTAGATCATGAACTTGAATTAAAACTATTTTTTATATAAAACATCCATTAATTAGAAATTCTTAATTTTAGACATGATGAATATGCATTAACACTAGTAACAACAATCAGATTATCATTAGCCACAAACATGCAAAGCTAGATCATAAACTTCAATTAAAACTTTTTTTTACATAAAATATCCATTAATTAGAAATTTTTAATTTTAGACATGATGAATATGCATTAACACTAGCAACAACAATCAGATTCTCATTAGCCACAAACAAACAAAGCTAGATCATGAACTTGAATTAAAACTTTTTTTATACATAAAACATCCATTAATTAGAAATTTTTAATTTTAGACATGATGAATATGCATTAACACTAGTAACAACAATCAGATTCTCATTAGCTACAAACATACAAAGCGAGATCACAAACTTGAATTAAAACTTTTTTTTATATAAAACATCCATTAATTAGAAATTCTTAATTTTAGACATAATGAATGTGCATTAACACTAATAACAACAATCAGATTCTCATTAGCCACAAACATACAAAGCTAGATCATCAACTTGAATTAAAACTTTTTTTTAGATAAAATATTCATTAATTAGAAATTTTTAATTTTAGACATGAGGAATTTGCATTAACACTAATAACAACAATCAGATTCTCATTAGCCACAAACATACAAAGCTAGATCATAAACTTGAATTAAAACTTTTATTTATATAAAACATACATCAATTAGAAATTTTTAATTTTAGACATGAGGAATATGCATTAACACTAGTAACAACAATCAGATTCTCATTAGCCACAAACATACAAAGCTAGATCATAAACTTGAATTAAAACTTTTTTTATATAAAACATCCATTAATTGGAAATTTTTAATTTTAGACATAATGAATATGCATTAACACTAGTAACAACAATCAGATTCTTATTAGCCACAAACATACAAAGCTAGATCATAAACTTGAATTAAAGCTTTTTTTCATATAAAATATCCATTAATTAGAAATTTTTAATTTTAGACATGATGAATATGCATTAACACTAGTAACAACAATCAGATTCTCAGTAGCCACAAACATACAAAGCTAGATCATAAACTTGATTTAAAACTTTTTTTATAAAAAAGCATCCATTAATTAGAAATTTTTAATTTTAGACATGATGAATATGATAGGTTTATTTACTTTCATTTTTTTTAAAAAAAAAAAAGACTTATTTAATAAAAGACAAGAATTTTTTTTCACATATATTATTCATAGAATAGAAAAAAATAATAACCTGATTTTTTTTCTGTGTTTTTTATCGACGCCCGGTGGCTGAGCGGTAGCGCTTCGCGTTGTCGTGCCAGAGGTCCCTGGTTCGATCCTTGTGCCGGGCAAGGTTGACTCAGTCTTTCATCCCTTCAGTGGGTCAATAAATGAGTACCAAGCATGCTTGGGAACTAAACACTGGGGGTTCTGCGTTCGGCTGACCACCTGATCGGAACATATGCTTCCTCACCCCAGAGTCCAAGGTCAAGAAAACTGAGATGTGAACGGTAGGCCTTGGCCCTCTTGGGCTGTCGCGCCGCTGAGTTTTGAGTTGATTTTTTTTATCATCCTAGAGTCATCATCATAAAAATTTCATAATGTAAAATTATTAATTAATTATTATATTAAATTTCCTAGACAATTTTGTTTTTCCATTGGTCAACAAATGAAAGGTTTAAAATAGCATTCTATAAAACTCCAAGGTAAATATGACTTATTTATGCAGTCAACATACAAGATAAAATGTCTGGTAACAAAGGTTTTGCTCTCTTTTAATATATAGGATAAAGTTGGATCTAGGTAAAACAAGTCAACTTAAACAGATTGTCAATTTACAAACTTGACCAACTTGATAAGTTTCACTGTGCAAGAAACATATTATTACACATTCAATACTTTGACAAAACAAGTAGCTTACTCAAATGACAAAAGATGAGTTTTCATAAGGTTGATATCATGTTTTAATGTTTTGCAGACCTCCAAGGAAGGATATTCAAAAATATTTATACATAATTCTTGCCCTTTTTCAGCAGCAGCAAAATAACATTCTGAAGAATGTGCCTTAATAAAATTTTTTAAAAATTAATGATAAATATAAAGCTACTGAGCACATAAAAAAATACATCTTTCAAAAGCAAAGACTTACATTTACACAACTAAAGCCAACCCCATTAACTGAAGGTAAGAACATTTTGTTTTGTGTTGTGACATCCAACAAACACAGGCAGTTTCCAGAAATCAATATTAAAATATCCTTATTAAGCATACATATATTGGGTCCAAAGTCACACTGATAGCCAAATGAATATCTATGAATAAAATTTTGATAAGACAAATTATTTTGAATAAAATCAAACATATGAATACAAGAAATTATCAAAAAGATCTACCAAAAAAAATCTGTAAATTCTCTCATTTACAGAAAAAATTTATATAGGTAAGCTTAAAAATGAATGATCATCTCTATGCCCCGTAAACTATTCATCTAATAAAATCTGACAAACTGATAGTTTGAG